GCCATACAATTCTTCGTCTTCAGTAATATCACACGGATAGCGTCTATCAAATTATAGAATCCCAACCCGAACATTTCACGTCTTTACACCTCTGTCCTGCCCTGCCAGAGATTTCCAAACCAAGTCGTAATGTCATCAGTAAACATTACTGCATGACACTGAGAGACTTTACCAAAACAAATTTTACCCATAATGGAATTATACTCTATCACAGTGCACAAGTTTGATTCTTATATCAAGTCGTGGTGTACCTCTTTGGTCTGGCGTCATAGTGAGACAACTGCCTGTATCCAGTAAACGACGCAGGCCATCGCTATAGAAATATTAAGCAATCAGTGCTGGTTTCTAGAGTGTGTTCGAGATGTCCATAATCGAACCACTCGGCAGGCTAAGTCTTCACCCCCGAAATGTATTGACTAAATGGACTAAAAGTCTTCTAATAATAGACCTAGACTCAATGACAAAAATGGTCTCAGATCGTTATCCATTTCCGAAAATATGTGATTTGGGTGCTTCTTAGAAAGGTGTGTCTGTGTTCAGTAATCTTGATCCAACATATGTTATTATCAGATCCCAGTGCACTTGGGTGCCATACCGAAGACTGGTGTTATTATAACTTTCGGTTACTTCGCATCCATCCACGTGTCCTTTGGTCTATGCTTCTCCATTCAGACACTGCAGAATTCCGCCTGTAATGTCTACCGTGGACTAGACTTCGCTTGTGCATATCTGGACTACATTCTGATAGCTAGTCCATATGAGGAAACTGATTGTTATCGCCTGAAAATGTTTCAATAGGAAATAGAAATACAGTGACTGAAAACTGTTGTTATGTATAAAACGTGCCTCCACAATTCCACCATGCTTCACATGTACAAAGAATCACTAGTTCATTATTAATTGTTCTAATGTTATTCGAAATGGGAACAGCACATCTCCATTTTATCCTCTTCACTGTATTTCACTATAGTGGTCTTTAGGATTACCCATAAGCTTCCATCTTCACCAGACACGATCTTCTCGATGTCATCCTAGGACACACAATTGGTTGTTTGTCATTCGAATTTCACTGAAGGTCCTGGTGGGCGATATCCCTCAACGGTCCTCATAGTGTGCATCTTATTCGTCTTCGTTTTCTGCTACATTGAAGCTAAGCAACAGGTCCTTAGTTTCTTCTTTCGAATCCTTTTTGACCATATAATCCTTAGTGCGGACCGAAGATAGCTGCTGACAATAGTCTGTAACCAGATGCGAATGCTCTTGGTTACACGGAAAATTTGTGGATAATTAAAAAGAGTTGATATTAGTGTTGAAAATCTAAATCTTGTTCTTTATGTTTTAGATTCTCACACTGGTTTCAGAGTTACGAATGTCTGCCTTGCTTTTCCTGTTCTGCATATAACATCATCAATGCTACCTATTACTGAAAAAATGCCGAATAGATAAGTGACAGTGACGGCTTCCCTTAAATTTTTCCCCTTGCCAGTGCTAATGTTAAGCATTTCGACCACCTATACTCTCTATATTCACTCGACACCCTAACTTCACTGCTGATTTCTTATACCATCTGGTTGGTTTTCACCTGTAGGTCTTCCAGGCTGGGATGACATTGATAATATATCATCGGTGGTACCAAAATCATCTAGAATCATCTTGCAAATCCCAAGCACTCTAGTCTTTTTTATTCCCACGGTCGGCCCCATGATCCAGTCTATCACAGTCAGGAATATCACTCGTGATTTTAGGCAGTCTTGTCTTAATTCCTCTCCTCACTTCAAGTGCTAAACTGAATTTTCTGTTTCAAGTTACTTGACACGTGGCAACATCACATAGTTTCTGGGTGAGGTTGATAGAGATATGTTGAGCAGCACAGTGTATTGTTGAGGCGGGAAAGTTGTGCGAGTACCCTGATATGATGATGAGTAATAAATTTTGCTAGAAACTTCGTCAGTAAATATTGTGGTGAGAGGTGGCTGCTAGCCAAAAGTGGTAGACAGTATTTTACGCTAATTTTGCATGTCCCAAATATTGGTCGTGAGAAAATATGAACAAAGACTGATTCAACAACCAACCAGAGCAGACTTTGCGTAGGCGGATACAGTTAACATATAGATGATCTGACTCTCAAGAAACAGTCACAAAGAGATGCAAGGTTTACTTTCTGTGAGAAACAACCAATCAGAAGACTGTGATCGTTTGCTTAAATAATCTAATAATGTACATGAAAATATATAAATACATATTGATTTCCTTAATAAACGATCTGTTGCCTGGCCCTTATCTTCTGTTGGTACAATATTACTGTGTAACACCGTGTGACTTTATCAAAATAAAATTCTCATCCATAATGGAACTATACCATACTTCAGTGGCCAAGTTTTATCCTCATATTGTTGAAGCAGTTTACCGATTACTTCGCGATCATCGCTGTCGAAAATCTTTTTTAAATCGATGGAGCTGAGGTAGAGTATTGACCGCCATTCTACACTCTGTTCGGCGATGATAATTGGCTCGTACATAATTCCCTTCACTTGATTCTAGCTTTTTCTGGACGGGATTTTGTACACAGAGTCCTCGATTTTGTCGGTGAGGTTGTGACTTGATACTTTGCTTGCTGAGGACAAGAGCATTGCTCCTCACCAGCTTTCCGAAAGGCCTAAGTTGTTCTTCTGCGGCAGTTTGACAAGGCAGTCTCTCTTCTTTAAAGAAGTTGCCTATGCTGCCTTCTTCTCGAAATGCTTACTATAGTGGTGGGAGAATATCCACAGATGTCTCTGGATTCGTGCTTCAGGAGGGCTTCTATCTCTCCGCATTCCCTGCCTTCATTAAATATTTGACATTCGACAGTTTCGTTTGCGTAGGAGGATTGGTGTCCAGTGGCAGTTCTGTAGCTATTGGCTTCATTTGTGATCGACTTGCAGTTGGTAGTCCTTTCAAGAAGGATCAGTCTGTTGTTATCCAGGTCTTTCCTCTCTGTCAGTTAAGCTCCTCTCACTTAATTTATTTCGCTTTTACCTGTGTTGATTTTTTGTCAGATGGCGATCTGATTATCTGGTATAAATCACTAGATTGAGAAGTAAAAAAACTGCATCTTGACTGATTAGTGTGCACCAGCAAATAATCGATTAGGCGACATTTAATCTACTCTAGGTTCGAACAGGTAGAACTCATGTTACATTGTAAAAATAACTAGTGATTTTTCTCGTCGCTCTTAATAAATTTCTTTTCTGGTCTCATCATGATTTAGTGATGACTGAAGCTGACACATATGTCGTACAAGATTCTGAGCATAACTGTTCAGATCACAAATATTTATCATAAACAATTCCGATGTTAGCTGTTCTCCTGATAAAGTGAGTGTTGGTTTGTAAGATTGATTCAGTGTATACGGATTTTCGGGTGTGTCTTGCGTTGAGGAGAGTCAGATTACGAGCTTTGGTTTAATTCGCTTTGTCGACAGACAGTAAACAAGTTACCCACTGTCAATGAAAGTACTCTACTTTACGATTAAGATATATTCCGCCTTATTTCTTCCACCAAACAGCGAACGATGAGACGGCGACTGCCTGATTGATGACTCCCGCGAAAAATGTAGGGTTGGGTTTGAGCAAACAACTATGAATTGATCGTTCGATCTTCAACTACATTGACACTCCCCACCAAAAAATAGATCCATCCATTTTTTCCGTCACGACCAATACACGTTGACTTGGATGCCAATGCGAGAACCTGGGACACACGGACAAAGCTGAAGAGGAGAACAGACAACACACCTAACACACCACAGGCATACGCACAGCACAATCACACTCGTTGATGACGACCTACGCCTTCCAGTTAAAGGCATCCTCTTGACAGCTTGCAACACAATCGTCACTTGCTAGAATGACTCTTGGAGAATGCAACGTAGCCATAGCAGCACCTCATGATACTTTTCGCACATCCTCTTAACTATTCACTGTCAATTACCACTGCGATCGCTTGTCACTCATTCTGCCTCAGTTCTAGTAACGGTGACGTATGCGAGCTTCTGTCGTCTACGCTCTCACTCCCCGGAGTGTGGGACCACAGCCTAAATCGAAGCATTCATTCTCAATCATTGATTCCCCAGCTTATCCTTATCTTCGTGTGCATGTCATTCTCAGCATTAGCCTCCCCCGCGTGTACGAACCATCTGCTGTCTTTAGCATCAATGAAAAATGTGACGGGACATTTGGCGAGCGCATTATTCAGTAGATGCGTAGTCGCATTTCGCATTGAGAGCAACGTGGCACATGAAGCGCGGAAGCGATCTTGCATGACATTTAAGACATGTGGACTTATATAGTGTAGACTGGAATTTTCAGGAAAAGACAATGAATTGATCTTCGTGTGTCACAGCCTCATGTTCACGGGGATTACTTACTTTGGCAGTAATGAGATATACAGTGATTTTTATTATCCTAGGTTTTCAACACCCTGCCAACCGACTGTAAATTTATTAGAACCTCTGTGTCAAACGATACTATCGAAAATAAGCCATTATATTTTGTGCGACACATATCCAAGTCTGCATGCCGCCACTGCGTCTTTATTGCAGGAGTGAATCACACATCGATAAGCCTGTATGAAAGCTATGATCTGCTTCTCAATCGCTGTACAACTCGGACTATGCTATAAAGGATTCCTCTACTGTATCACATGGCTTCACGACAAAGAAATGTCGGGTCAGATTCGAGGGTAACAAGAATTACGTCAGTGTTTTCTTCATCGACTTCAGAAAGATACTTGGAGTAGTTCATCATATCAGCATGTAACTAGATAGTTCACAATCGAGAGAACTTTTTCTCTTACTGCATCAACCTCTTAAAATACTGCATTCTGTTCGCCAAAAAAACAAATATAACTTCGGATACCGAAGAAAGAAGGACTAACGTGGGCCTGTTCCTTCTTTACCTGGTTGAAAATTTGAGTTTGAGTTGTTTTGCTCAATCAGTAACATTCCTAATTGTGGCAACCGCCAAGGTTGTAAATGCGCGCGCTGGAATAAGTACTTTAGTTGGCTGGGGAGGAGTAGGTATCTTTGTTGTCCTGACTGGATGTCAGTGTGAAGCAAAGATGCTTGCGATCAAAGAACTCTAATAAGTAAGATTTATGCTAGGTAAAGTTGTCACAACATTGTGATTACGGGTCAAATTTTAGTTTTTTTTTATAGACGATCATCTTTTCGAATAATAGCTTTTCACATTCATTTACTTTATTGTAATAAATTTCGACTTATATTTGCTTTAGACAGCTTAGGTGTTTATTAGATGGTCTGAATACTCACCTGCGGCCTATTCACTCTTCTATTTCTGAGGTTGAATGCCCTCATATGTAAAGTCACGCCACCTGTTTCTTTCGAGCCATGTGCCTTTCGTTCCGTGTCAACCTCTGATACCTCATTCGTCTCTTTTAACTCAGACTCCACTCAAATGTGTGCCTGGTTTGTGATACCAGTGGGTAACACTACAATGGCTTGTCGACCTAAATATCCTTCTCTATATTGTTTGGTCAATGTTATAGTTTACTGCCCACCAGAGTTCTTTATGGATTACCTTATGAGGCCGTACATTGGTCTTCACTACTCAGCGAAAGCCCCCTGTTGATAGGGGTCTTTAATATCCTTTTGAAAATGTTATGATGCATGTGTTGGATCTGTGAATCATAGAGAAACGCTGACCTGACGTTTATTTATTGCAGGGCAAATCTATTAGGGTATTACTTCTGGAATACAGACTTGGATTGCTTTCGCACTATCACAAGATGAATTTTAAGCCAAACTATTATGAATGTTATTAAAAAGTGATATTTATGTCGTGATATATTGTTATTATTATTGTATCCTTTAGTTCCTAGAGGAACATAGGGCCTCAGCTGCGCACCCCCATTGCCTTCGGTTTTCTGACAACTTTTTCAACCCGCTCCAGGTCTGTCCACATGCTTTCATCTCCTCCTCGCATGACCTCCTCCAAGTCACCCTTGGACGACCAACTCGCTGCCTCCCTTTCGGGTCCTACTCGAAGGCTTGTCTAGTGATGTCACTTGGTGGTTTCCTCAGAGTATGGCCAATCCATCTCCATTTCTTCCTGCCTATTTGTTTCACAATCGGTTCCTGATCGGTTCGCTCCCAGAGATCCATGTTGTTGATCTTTTCTGGCCATCTGATCTTGAGTATTGAGCGAAGACAGCTGTTAATGAAGGTCTGAAGTTTGTTTTAGATGCTCTTTATGACGCGCTGGCCAAGTCTCTGATCCGTATAGTAGCGCTGACTGACTTCACATTGGGGTTGAAAATCCGGATCTTATTTTTGATGGTGAGTGCTGTTGACCTCCACACAGATTTGAGAGTAATGAAAGCTTGTCTTGCTTTTCCGATTCTGGCTTTGATGTCCTCGTCAGTTCCGTTCGCCTGTAGTTGAGACGATGCTTCCCAGGTTGGTGAAGGAGGTTGTTTCTTTCAGGTTCCTCCCACTTATGCTGATTGTTGTCTGTTGTTGTTGTTGCTGTTGGCTAGGAATCTTCATCACCTCTGTTTTATCTATGTTCACTTGAAGTCCTATCTTTGTTGCTTCTTCCGCCAACTTGTTGCTTTTCACTGGCATATCTTCCAGTTTGTGGGAAATCAGACATATATATCACATCGGCGAAGTCCAGATCCTCCAAGTTTTTTGTGTGAGTCCATTTTATGCCTGTCTCCTCATTGCCCGTTGTCTATCACATTATCCAATCTACGGCGATCAGGAAAATCATTGGCTATAGAAGACAGCCTTGCCTCACTCTTGTCCTCACTTCGAAGGCTTCCGTAAGTTTCCCGTTGTAGATTACTTGGCATGTAGCATTGTCGTATAACTGTTGGATGAGATGTATAATTGTCGATGGGACCCCGTAGTAGCGAAGTAGTTGCCAAATGACCTCCCGATTCACGCTGTCGAAGGCCTTTTCAAATATATATATAAACCTCGCTTAGACTACTAGCTTGCTAGTTTTCTAGCCGGTTCCAAGCCCGGATAAACAGGGAGGGTTGGGGCTTGGCGCTAGCAACTTCACCCCCAAAACTCAACCAAACCGTTACAGAAACTTCAATGCACCAATATATTAAAAATTGTAAAAATATAAACAGTAACATTATTTTTCGCTGGAATCGGGGAAGTGAAATGACGCAGGCTGGTGAAAGCCTTCGGGAAGCCAGTCAGCCGATGTGCCTTCTTTCGACGAACGCGAAAATAAGGATGGGACGTGGAATGTTCGTACAATGTACGAAACTGGAAAGGCTGCCCAGATAGCCGCTGAAATGAGAAGGTATAGAATAGAAGTGTTGGGAATCTGCGAGAGCAGATGGAACGGAACTGGAAGGTGCCAACTACCTACTGGAGAGACAGTAATATATTCCGGCCACCCAGAGGACAATCACGAGCACACTGAGGCAGTGAGTGGCCATCATGATGTCACCAACAGCAACCAAAGCTCTCATGCAGTGGGAACCAATCTCCTCCAGGATAATGACAGCCAGGTTCAACTCAAAAGGAAGGAAAGTTACAGTCATTCAATGTTATGCGCCTACAATCGTCTCAGAACAAGAAAAGAAGGAGGCGTTCTACAGACAACTACAAACAGTAATGGACAATGTCCCAAATGGCGATATCAAAATCCTGATGGGTGATATGAATTCGAAGCTTGGAGGAGACAATATAGGAAGAGAACTCACCATGGGTCGTGAGGCCCTCGGTGAAATGAACGACAATGGTGAACTCTTCTCAGACTTCTGCGCCTTCGATGATTTCGTGATTAGTGGCAGTGTGTTCAAACACAAGGATATACACAAGGTGACATGGATTTCACCAGATGGACACACCAAAAACCAGATAGACTTCATTTCAATCTCAAAGAAGTGGAGACAGAGCCTACTGGACGCAAGGTCGTCCCTATCTAAAACTGTAACTAATCTGAAACAAGGCAAAGCAGCAGGACGTGATAAAATGACTTTAGAAGCACTTAAGTACGGTGGAGACAGTTTACTGTCTGCATTAACTTAGGTTCTAAGCAGCGTCTGGGAATCAGAGGAAGTCCCATCGGGTTGGTGTGAGTTACTGATTATCCCCATATACAAGAAGGGAGACAAGTCTTCCTGCGATAATCACAGAGGGATTAGCTTGACTAATATAGTATCTAAAGTCTTAGGCTCAATAATCATGCGTAGACTGAGTGGTGCTCGAGAGGCACAAACACGAGAGAACCAAGCAGGCTTTAGTCCAGAAACAGGGTGTATTGATCATATCTTCACCCTTCGACAAATTCTAGAAGATAGGCATTCTTACCGGCATCCAACAATCAGTACATTTCTTGACCTGAAGGTGGCATTCGATTCTGTCGACCGATGGGTACTCTGGCGATGCTTGGCTGTAAAGGGAATGGCGAAAAAATACATTGCACTGATCAAGCCACTCTACTCGAACTCACGCAGCCAGGTGAGGGCTTACGGTGAGTTGTCATCTGAAATGGTGACGACTAGTGGTGTCCGTCAGGGATGCGAATTATCCACATTTCTTTTCAATTTCATCATAGATGTACTAATGGACTTAACCCTAAGTGACTTCAGCGACCCAGGGATTGACTTGCTACCAGGGAATAATATTATTGACTTAGAATATGCAGACAATATAGTCAAACTAGACAAGGACGCTTACAAAATTCAGAGTCTTCTGAACATCTTGAGTTGCAATCTACGAATGTTTGGCGTTCGATTCGCTCCTGTCAAATGTTAGATGATGTTACAGGACTGGACTACACTGACTCCTAGATTAGAGAAAGGGAGTGAAGGGGTAGAGCACGTTGACCGCTCCACTTATTTGGGAAGTACCATCAGCCCCAACGGGTTGATCTTTGACGAAATCTCAGAAAGGATACAGAGGGCTAGTTTCGCATATGCCAGTTTACGCCGTCTCTGGCGTAGACGTGATATCCACCTGTCGATCAAAGGGCGTGTGTACTGCTCATCAGTCCGCTCCGACCTGCTTTACGGCTGTGAGACCTGGTCATTGAGAGTGGAAGACATGAGAAGATTATCTCTCTTTGATCATAGGTGCCTGCTTTCTATCTCCCGTGTGAAGTGGTATAATAAGATGAGCAATATTGAGGTTAGGCATCCGTCGAGTGCCAGTTAAGGAGGGAAAATCAATCGATGAGGCTGTGAAGCTACATCGACTGAGATGGTTAGGATATGTGTTACATATGCCTAACCCAGTCATCGCCTTCCTCGACAATGGGCAATGTTAGCTGACATAGGGTCAGGCTGGAAAAGAGCTAGCGGTGGTCAAACTAAAACCTGACATCAGTCGATGAGATCTACAATAGTTAGTCTAAGCCGGCCACGTAGGAATGTGCAGACTTCCTGGTTGGGGTCCTCGGGACGGTAAAAACCAATGGTTGGGAACAATCGGTGATATGGCTCAAAATCGTTCTCAGTGACGCAGATGCATCCACTCCTTGTGACCTATGATTTCCAATGAAACTATTGTTCTTCATTATTATTTCTTTGTCTCTGTTTACTGGCTCTATTATGCATTTCTTCTACCTTCTTCTCTTGCTTTGTGTGCTACATAGAGTGTGGCGACTTGAACTGCCGCACATTTGTGCAAAGTTCTATGTCGAAAACAGACAGAGATTTATTTCGTGACGCAAAAACTTAATTGAGTGACATAACAAAACACTTAATCACAAATTCATGTGTCTGTATTTATTTTTTTGTGTATATATGATATTTGAATTTCGGTTTGGTTGTCAGGCTGTTTTTTATTTCACCACCGGTGACTTATAGTGTATATCTAATGCAATGTCGTATAGACTTCAGGTAAAGCAACAGTAATTCAGCTGTGTAATACATCCCCACCATGCTAGAGGTGGCCACATTTTCGAGTTGGTGGACTAATTATGCTCCCAAACCTCAGTAGGTGCTGTGTAGTGTAAACCTCATCTACCAGGTTGAACTGAAGTACTCAAGCCAGTAAACTTCACCTGCACCTTGCTGATCATCATTCATTCCTTACTATTATTGTTCCAATTAAATGAGCTTTTGTATTCACTTATTTAGGTGACTGTTTATGAAATAAATGTTACTTGGGATTATTTAACAAAATGGAAATCAAAGTTGGAGATTCTATCCGAATTGAAGATGGCTTTTATGTTCCTGAAGAATTGTATATGCAATATAAAAAGATGAATATATCTAGTATATTTTCTTGGCAAGCTGAATGCCTTCGCTTGCCTGGTGTTCTTGGTAAGCCTGCCTACTTTAAAACTTATTTCATAGAGGGGAATAAAAATCTTGTTTACTCAGCTCCTACTAGTGCTGGAAAAACCCTCGTTGCTGAGCTCATTGTACTTAAACGTGTTTTGGAATCTTCATTGAAAGCATTTATAATTCTACCTTATGTGTCTGTATCAAGAGAGAAAATGACTTACCTACAGGTTGGTTTATTGTGTCAGTTCATTTTTAATTTTGACATATTTTGTGCATGTTCGAAAATAAGTCATTTGGAAGGTTAAATCTTTAAAAACCCGATCACTGCTTCCTCTTGATGTTTGTAACCAGTACCATAAAAATTTAGCTGAGTTCTGAAAAGTTGGCTATTCTTGGTATTTATTTAGGTTTCTAACCGTGACATATTTATTAAAGTTGTAATTATGATATAGCCTTTCATTTCACCCATACATCTTTTGATGTTTAATTTAAACTTTTTTCTTTACTAGAGACTGTTCAGCAGTCTGGGTATTCGTGTTGGAGGCTACATGGGGGGTCAAAGTCCACCTGGGGGTTTGTCCGCTATTAATGTAGCCGTTTGTACAATTGAAAAGGCAAACAGTCTGGTTAATAGACTAATCGAAGAAGATCGTTTAGACGAATTAGGTAGGTCTCCAGCTTTTCATTTCTGATTTATTATCGAATTAATATACTACGTATATTTGTGATAAGATCATCAAAGTTCATTTATTACTGCTCATTTTATGACAGCATACATCTGAAAGTTCGTTTGAATAAATGAATGAATTAAAAGAAATAATAACAGCTTTATTCTGAACAAAATGTTCGCATAATGTACAGAAGTATCAGCGTGGTTAATTGCACTCAGGATCTTCGAGTAAAATAGCAATATGTAGTAAACCATATGGCGATAGGATTTGGAAGACAATAAATTGATCGAGGAAACACTGTCATATCAAAATCCCAGACAGTATTGATAAATTGAGATATCGAATTTTAATGCCAGAACTAAGAAATATAGATGCATTTTTTCTGGATTAGTGTCAGGAACTGTATCCAATAAATATTAATTTATGGGCATCTTTCAACAAATGAACAGACCAGTTTAATATTATAGTGTACAATAGTATTGAAGTTCTAGTAATGTATTTTGAAGAATTTGTTCATCTTGTAGATTTAAAATTATTTCAGTAAAGACCTACTCATCTTTTCATTCTTTTATCAGTATCAATTAACCCTCACCTAGGCATTTGTTTTACTCCACATGGACTTACTTTTAAACTGGTTAATTTTTAGGTATTGTCGTTGTCGATGAATTACATCTTATTGGTGATACTCATCGAGGTTATTTACTGGAGTTGTTGTTAACCAAATTACTCCTTCATTCACGTCGCAGATTAAATGCTAAACTAATTGATGGTGGTAAAAGTTCAGGAGATTCTCAAAGTCTGTTAAATGGATCTTTGAGCCAATCCTACTTTGATACAAATGGTATTCAAGTAGTTGGCATGAGTGCTACTTTGCCAAATCTTGCAACACTTGGACAGTGGTTAGATGCAGAGGTTTATGTAACAAAGTTTCGTCCAGTCCCACTGACTGAACTCATTTTATCTTGTGATACAAGATCTAAAGTGAATCAGTTCTATAAATTAGTTAATTCTAATGTTGATAGTGTTTGCACTCAACAAAAGTCAGAGTAAGTCATTATGCCATATTTTATCAAAGTAATAATAAAGTATCTCACTCTTTCACTCTTCAGCTGCTTGGAATTTTCTAATAATTTAAACAGTAACTTTTACTGTTACATTAGTCTAACCACGTAGAATCGATGTATATAGGGAGAGTAGTGAAAACTGAAAATTTATTTTGATTACAGCTTGATTCCACACTGTATTTTTGGTACAAGTATGGAATTTTCAACATGTGATATCGGTAGCCCAAATTTTGCAGGCCGACCGTAGATATCGGGTGTGAGTCGGCAGGGGCTCGAACCCCGGACCATGTGCATGGTCGACGAGAGTCTTAACCACTGTGCCACCGACGCGCAATTAAGGCTCTGAATGTTCTTAAGCTCTTCAACTGCAAATAGTTTCTCTCAGAACTTTAAATATCTTTTTTCGCGACCGTAGACGAGTGTTTGTGAACGAGAAGTACTCCGTACGCCGAAAATGTCCCGTACTACAGGGATGTAACTTATTTTTCCATCATTTCTTCTGTTTTCAAAGCTTACTATGAATAACTATGTTGTTATATCATTTTCTAAAGATATCACTTCTCACAATGACTATTTTGGTATAACTAAATTAATTTAGGTGTCTGGTACCTACTGATAATTTACCTTTGGATCCACAGTTAACTTCTGATATTCAGCTAAATGATGAAGATGGTGTGTTTGGTTTGTGTCTTGATTCATTCTTGAATGGACATGGTGTACTCGTGTTTTGCCCTACTAAACAATGGTGTGAACAATTAGCTGATACAATGGCACGCCAGGTAAGTTCACATTATTTGGTGTTGTATTATATCAGTTGAATTTTCTTTATTGTCACTTTTCAATCACTTTAAATTAAAGATAAACATATAAAAATGGGAGTTCATTAGTCAGAACTAAGTTGCCAGGATCAGACTTTTCATGTAATGGGCTATGAGGCACGCTTATTTTGTGGGGGATGGTGGCACTACTGGGTTGCCCAAGCTGAAGTAGATGGAGTTGGATTCAAGCTTAGGACCCACTTAGTAACAGTTGAGTGCTTGAGCTACTAAGTCTTATCTCTACCTAAAAAGAAGGGTTTAGCTTAAATTTCTTCTCTTCCCAACCTATCACTTTCCACCTGTATTTGGTCACGGATAATAACTGGTATCTGAAATGTTATCCGATATATAATACAGCACTGCAATGTGGATGAAACTAAGGATAGCATTATTGTGTACACTACTGCAGTACTAGTCTTACTTTTAAAATAATATTTGATGGAGTAGACAGAATATTTTCGTTGTGATGCATTTGGTTTTCCTAAATGAATACTGTTGTAATAAATTGTCTTCATTTTGACTACTTTTCTTCAATAGATCTTCAGTCTAACACAGTCCTACTTTTCAGCACAACGTCAGCAGGAAAATAATACCCGGGTGCTAAGGTCTGAGGATCCTGTTGACAGCGATCCAAATGATTACTACTTAGAACCAGATATTGGAGTACGCTTGGCATCACGTTTGGACCGAGTGGGTCTTACCACTTGTGTCGAACAGCTAAGGCGTTGTCCAGCTGGTCTTGATACAGCTTTGGCAAGATGTCTAGGCTATGGTGTTGCCTTTCATCATGCAGGTGAGTTAAAAGTTGTATAAGCTTATAGTTTAGAAGTATAGATATGTTGACTGTTTCCTGTCATTATTTGATACTTCCTTTTTTTCGTGCGTTATTTGCAATTCGATCAGCAGTTGCATTTTTGAAGTGGGTAAACTGATATTCAGTTTATTAAGGGGTTTCAAAGGGATTTGGCTTGGGTTCTCCAGCACAACATTTCAGTGAGAATACACTTAGGTTACAATATAAAATTGCCGGTAAAGGAACTGAACTGGCATTAAGGCATGAAATACTATTAACGATTGTAGGTTTGCTATAGTTTCACACACAATATAGTGAGATGTGCCAACTTCGACACTGTTTCGGCAACAATGTCTGGATCTTATTCAATGTATATGTGTCTTCCTTATAAATGGATAAAAGAATGCAACTTGGTAACCGTTGCTAATTTACTACCTTGTGAGTGACATATATCTAGGCAAAACTGCCTGTTGACTGACAAGGAAGGTAGTTTGAATTACTTTGTTACATATATATATATATATATATATATATATATATATATATATATATATATATATATATTTATATATATATATGGTGATCTCTCTTTCTGTTTGCTCGCTTAGTCTGTGACCATTTCACCTTGATGAACCTGTCTCCTTTAACAATGTATATCCCCCTTATATTATATATAATATGAGTGTTTGTTAACAGTCCATTGCTTGGTGACATATATCCATATATGGTGGTTGTTGACATGTCTGCTATATTTTGCTATGTATATATGGATCGATACTTCATTATAATTAGCCATTCATGTTAAGACTGTCCATTGATTTGTTCACACACTTGTCTGGACATTCATATATATTTCGCTCACACAATCTTGTGTGTCCACTTTCTTTGGTGTGATACCACTTATTGCTTCTCCTTGTGTTTGGAAAATAGAAGTATCATCGCAAACCTAGTGGTCTTCTGATTTCCGCCTTCTTGCGTCAGGACTATTAAATTCTCGACCAGTACATAGCAATAATTTGGCGACGAGTACATAACAATTTGGCGACGGAGAAAACTACTATTAACCACTCAGCAGCAGCAACATAACAATATATATATCGTAATATTTGTCCGGTAGTTCACATGAAGTTTAGTGAATCCAGAAAGAAAATATTTCTCCATACTGTTGCCAATATTGCACTCTGACAAATGTCAGCAAGCAGTAAAAGTCCTAGATTAATAAAAACCTTTAATTTATGTATGTATCCTTGTCAAGTTATGAATTCTATTTTCTAGGTCTTACAATTGAAGAACGAGAAGTGATTGAGTTTGGCTTCCGTAAAGGTCTTATTCGTATTTTAATTGCCACATCCACATTAAGCTCTGGAGTTAATCTACCTGCCCGTCGTGTTATAATTCGAACACCATTATTTCATGGACATATCCTAGATTATCTTACTTATAAACAAATGGCTGGTCGAGCAGGTCGTCAAGGAGTTGATACTAGTGGTAAGTAATAATAATAATATAGTATATCTGTTTATACTGTAAAAGTTCATCAGTACTACTGTCATCTATATTTTAATTAAGTTTTAGAATTTTAGGTTTTGTTTCCAACACTTGTGTATATGGCCTTAGTATGCTGAAAGGTTGGTGATGTAACAAGGTATCGTTTAAAATCAAATAGAAAACAGTGGCTCTCGGAACTCATCTTTAGGACGTAGTTACTGATCAAGCCATGGGTGGTCTCAATGAAAATCAATAATTTGCTCCAGTCTCACCAGCATAGTCTGGTCTGCTAGAAATGTCCAAATACTCTGGTGTGGCCGTTTTAAAAAGTGATTTCAGTGCACAAATAGGAAGCCTATATCAGACAAAGTTTGTTAGATTGTATTGGCCCTTCTCCAACAGGGGCTTAGATAATCAAAGAGTTTTATCGCACGCATGTGTTTCCGCCTAAATGAATGCTAGAGGTCAACAAATGACAGCCTTTTATAATAATTAATTTCTTGATCTCAGTTTAATGCTGTGAACAACAAAATTGTGTTCAATGAATAATTGGGTAAAAATCAAATCCTGTTTTAGTAACCTTTTTTGCTTGTTTTAAATTGAATAGACTGTTTGTCGCGTACAGTGGTCTTTCCCCTTTTTTTACGGAAACGTGACATTATTAACTGGCTGATGCGACGGTGGTGTAGAGCACTTTGTCAAGGAAACTGAACCGTCTATCTGGATATTCTATGTTAATTGTTGTTGGACTAATTCAATCATAAGCAGCATCTTGAAGTTCATGAATTCACAGATTACGTGTCATGTCGTTCATGCATAGAATTATAAGTTACCTGATTAGTCTGCATGCTGTCAGGGAATCGGTCACACTGTAGATGCGTTATTTATCCCTATTAAAATATGTTGTTCGTTTGTTTGTTTTATCCCTTGATTTAGGTTTAATAGCATTTCGCCATCTTTGAAACTTACTTCCGTCCTTTCTGTCACCCTTTTTACGTAATCTACGAATGTGAAATGTGTGCACCTCTATGCAATAATGTGGAGTTTGCCCAGATAATACTTATTAGCAGTATGTAAAGAGACATTCATCGGTACAAAGATATCAAATAGCGGAGAGACGTCAAAGAGAGCAAATGAACCAGTGCTGCGGCGAAATATGGGAGACACAAAAAGAAGACAAAGAAGCACACACCACGAAAGGCAGAAGTAGCACAACACGAAAGATCTGTGCAAATGACGGCTTTCATATAAGGTGTACATAATTTCGCTATACAGAGATTCGAAATCTCAAGTAGACCTTCCCTTAGCAAGTCTCTTGTCTTCTACTGTTACACTGATACTTTGTTATCAATGTTTCTGTAACCAGACAACCGGAATATATACGCTTATAGTGACAACATAACCGCTTATGTAACTAGTCAAATCCCTAGGCAATTAGGATAAGCTGGATGAAATCCATACAAAGGTTGTGTTCATATTGGTAATGTAAGCTTCACACGTAGGCTCCTCATTTCGAACATGAAATGGTGATTACTTCTGTAGAATTCCCTACGTTATAGTTGTACCCATTAGAATGCAGCTTAATGTTCTCTTTTGCTTAAATGAGCTTTTTTTTGAAGATTTTTCATTTAAGACGGATTTTTCAATATTCATTGGGTTACAACGATAAATTCTCTTCCGTGTAAATTCCTTATTACTAGTTAATGGCTCCTCTTTCACACAATTGAAGTTAAGTGTGTAAGTTAAATAAATCGTAAGTGGAATACCCAATTGACGTTTTTATGGGAATCGAGTCGTTTGTATGACATACGGTTCATGCATTTAATATGTGGTATTATCAGTAATTGGTTTTCACCTTCAGTATAACTTCCTTCATTTCTTTCATTTCAATGTATTCTTCACATTTACGTAGGCCAAAGCATATTATTATGTAAACCCAAAGATTTGGGACGCGTACGTCAGTTGGTGATGAATGGAATGCCACCAGTGAATTCCTGTCTAATGGGTCAAGGAGGCAGCCCGGAATCTAGCTTAAAACGTGCCTTACTTGAAGTATGTTCGTTGATTGATTGAAAATTTTGTTATTTATTTGTTTGGTTTATAAATTTTGTGTGAATTGCTACAACATTGTTACGACCAACTTAAGTATCAGGATGAATTGCACTACTCTATATTTTGTATGACTGTTAAGATATCTTTGTTCCACTGGAAACAACACTTATTGAGCACTTATTGTATAAGCGTTTGTTTTCTTACACTGTTTTTGATGGTGAAAACAAACAACGAAGGAACCTTAACCTGACTGTTATTGATTTTGTCTCTGATCCGTGTTTGGTGACATCTTAAATGCATAGTTGCTTATACTATATATAAGGAGTCAACATGACAAAAGTATTCCAGATTCCTCAGTGTTGCTTTCTCAAGGTTTGCGAAGCAGAGGAAGGTCACCAAGTAACACAGAGGCTATAGCTGTGCCGGAAGTCAATAGTGGTCAGACGAAGTGTGAACGGCTAAGAGTTGAAGAGGACTATTTCAAGGCCTGACGTATGCTTCTTAATCACCTAAACCAATAGTCCTTTGACTATTCTACTCGAAAAATGCATTTCGGATTCCAGTTATCACTGCGATATCTGTCGATAAGTCACCTAGTAGTTGATGGTAGAATTCACATAAGTGTTCAATTTTTTTTTTTTGAAATCTCAGTTACAATGCATTTATCTCGAAAATTTATTGGATATGTTACTTCCTTTTTACATCCTGTTTATACATTGAATGTATGAATTTACTTTTTATTTGGTAGTTACATCAGAGGTATGCTGTGATTTAACTGATGGATATATTCAGTTGACTCATTTGAGCTTTGCTGGAATGGTTGAAAAAAAAACCCACACAGCTTTATAAGTTATTGGTAAGTTGAGCATTCAGTAGATGGTTGATGATAATAATAAAAAAAGTTCAATTAATAATCCCATTGACGTGCCCTGTCCTCTTTTTAGTGTTGTATGTTTTGTGTAAACGATTAAGCGCAGTTTGCTGTATTTACTGTTTAAGCTGAAGTTAATTTGTCCCAGTCTTGGTTTTGCAAGGTAATTTACTTTCTCACTTCTTTGGGATTTTGAAACCTTTTGCTAGCATCATTCATGCTTTGAGTGTGTTGTGTTACGTGTTCACACCTACATTTTTCATTAGGCTAACGCTTTATTTCTTCTCCTTATTTAGGTTATTGCAAATGGATTTGTTGAAACACTAACCGACGCTTTACTATATCTATCTAGTACCCTGTTGGCTACTGTTATCACTCAAGAAAAGTTGACTGAACTGAAATCTCCTAAATCATCTCATCACTCACCAGGAGGGATTCGGCGTCGTTCTCTACGTTTATCTCAGTCTAGAATTTCTTCTAGTGGTGAAGTCAGTTGTGTTACAGATAACAATAATGAATTTATAAGTGAAATGAAACGTTTGTTATTCTTATGTATTAAAGATTTACAAAAGCAAGAACTGATCTATATTGACCAATCTTCCAGTCCAGAAGGCGGTAATGCGAATCTGTCACAAATGGATACCGATTCATTGAATGGTTTATTGAATTATGCTCGACTTCAACCAACGGCCTTAGGAAGAGCGGTATTGTCGTCTTCCTTAGGTCCAGTGCATGGGTTAGTAGTTTTCGAAGAATTGGATCGCGCACGACGATCTATTGCCCTGGATACTGAATTACATCTTATATATCTGGTGAGTATATTACATAATACTTTAAGATTAATCTACTCAAAGACATTCCTGTACACATAGGCTATTGTGAAGATTGATTTCCTCTGACACTAAATGGAACTGAAATAACTACTCTGTTTGTACTGCTAATGTGTTTTAGACACCCATACTGTATATATGGTGTCATTAAAATGTTAGTCACTATTATTTATTGATTCTATGTAGCTAGGAGTCAGTGTCAACCATGCTTGCGTGGATGCTGCTGTCCACTACCTTTTCTTATATCTTAAACTGCTTGTTACTCATTTATCTCGAATATACATCCGTCTTCAACATATAGTATTCTTCTTACCCTTCTCCCTTGCTAATTGTAGTAACTTGAATCAATGTTTAGTATAGTCTTAAGTCGTTTGTGTGTGCCTGTTTAAATTCACACTTTGGTTATTTTGCATAAGGGGATCTTGTGTTAGTTACAAAATGGTGTTTATTAATGCACGTAATTTTAAACTGTTTTCAGTTAACTCCTGTGTATTTGGATGTTGGTGCTGATTTGGATTGGCTTTGTTACTTGGAACAGTATCAGAGTTTATCTCCTGCAGAGCGTAGAGTTGCCGATCTGGTTGATATTGAAGAACGGTTTATTACTAGATGTGCAGCTGGTGCCTCATCAACCACTAGTGGTCGTTTTGGTAATGCTTCTATGACCAGTCGACGTCTAAGCTTGCATAGACGTTTTTATACAGCTTTAGTATTATATCGCTTAGTTAATGAAGATGGTTTACAAGCTGTTGCAAAGAAGTTTGGCGTCAATCGTGGTCTCCTCCAGAGTTTACAACAACAAGCTGCCACTTATGCAGGTATGTTTTCATGCATATTTTATCATGAAATATGCAATACTTCCTAACTGGATAATGTCCCATTTTTATTAAAGTGCACAAGTCCTTAATTCACCATTCGTCCACAATACATAAAGACCGTTATATAAAGCGTTTATTCAGTAAATATTAGTTGATGCTGTTTGATGATGTAGTTTGTTCATTCATGATTGATTAACTTGAACTCGAACCTCAAATGATACTTGGAAACTCCTAGCGTTGAACACCTTGCAAGTAAATGTAGGTAAATACAGTACATGAATTTTCGAATTCTTAATATTCGCTATTTAAAGTTCTCATTCAAGTGCCTCACATTTTTTGTGTTATTAACTTGCATCGTCAGACAACGTAATCGGTTTAAACCTGATAAGTTTTCTTTTCACGACTCATTAAGTACAAGTACTTCATGTGTTATGTAACAATTCAACTCTGAACTGGTATGCAGTATGTACAGTCTAATATCCATTTATGTTGTACCAGGAAGATGTAAAGAGTCCTCTATTTTTCACTAATTTTCTAGGTACTACCACCAAAATTAAAACTTATACCTGTGTGCAAAAATCCCTTACAAATGCATCTAAAATAACATAGTAAGCAGGATAAAATTACGCCATTTTATTTCGTTGGTTCATGTCACCTGCGTACAATCATGAATAATTCAATATCAAAATATAAAATATTCAAACACTTTAGTTATTGGTCATAAAGATGAAGAGTATTAATATCATGTGATTAAGTTGCATAATGGAAAGGAATATAAGTAGAAGTCTATGTCAAGCTCGTTAGTATGCATGAGAACAATTAGAATAATAATAATATTACTTTAGAATTACGGATGAATGCTACAAAGTGACTAGACTAGTAAAATCAACAATGCATTCATGTATAGTAAGCATCAAATAATTTAGTTGAATACAGGACTGTCAGAACTAAATTAGATAATTAAAATAACAGAGAACAATAAAATCACGTAGTGTATATACCAAGGTGAGGCAGGATTAACACTGGCTTCCTTCTGGATAAACACTTCAAAAGACTCCTAAATCGACCGCCACCTACAACGCGTCCAATACCAACAACGGAAGCAGGACTACAAGTGCACATCAATCCCTCGACGAGAACAAAAGTCCTGATGGCAATCAAGATGCTAAAAGCAGGAAAAGCAGCAAGACCGGATGGAATCCCAGCAGTAGCATTGAAAATGGATCCAGAGACAACAGCGAACTTGATGACACCACTACTGGAGAAGGTGTAGAAGGAGGGCAAAGTACGCGAGGACTGGAAGAAAGGCTACTTATTCAAACTGCTAAAGAAAGGAAACTTCAATCAATGCAAGAACTGGCGCGGAATTATGCTTCTGTCCATCCCAAGCAAAATACTAAGCCGCACTATCCTGGAGAGGATCAAACAGGCCCTGGATGAAAAAATTCGACCGGAAAGGCTGGGTTCAGGACAAAATGTCATGCATCGATCAAATTGCAACACTACATATCATCATCGATCAAAGCTTGGAATGGCAGTCAGCTCTCTACTTAACTTCATCGACTTTGGAAAGGCATTCGACAGCGTCGATCGAGAGGTGATTCGACAACTACTTCTTTACTACGGGGTACCACCGACAATTATACATCTCATCCAACAGTCGTACGACAATGCTACATGCCAAGTAATCCACAACGGGAAACTTACGGAAGCCTTCGAAGTGAGGACAAGAGTGAGGCAAGGCTGTCTTCTATAGCCAGTGATTTTCCTGATTGCAGTAGATTGGATAGTGCAACAAACAGCGGGCAATGAGGAAACAGGAACAAAATGGACCTACACAAAAAAACTTGGAGGATCTGGACTTCGCCGATGTGATATATATGTCTGATTTCCCACAAACTGGAAGATATGCCAGTGGAAAGCAACAAGTTGGCGGAAGAAGCAACAAAGATAGGACTTCACGTGAACATAGATAAAACAGAGATGATGAAGATTCCTAGCCAACAGCAACAACAACAACAACAGACGACATTCGGCATAAATGGGAGGTATCTGAAAGAAACAGCCTCCTTCACCAACCTGGGAAGCATCGTTTCAACTACAGGCGAACGGAACTGACGAGGATATCAAAGCAGTGAGGATTGGGAAAGCAAGAAAAGCTTTCATTACTCTCAAATCTGTGTGGAGGTCAACAGCACTCACCATCAAAAATAAGATCCGGATTTTCAACTCCAATGTGAGGTCAGTCAGTGCTACTATACGGATCAGAGACTTGGCCAGCGCATCATAAAGAGCATCTCAAACAAACTTCAGACCTTCATTAACAGCTGTCTTCGCTCAATACTCAATATCAGATGGCCAGAAAAGATCAACAACAGGGATCTCTGGGAGCGAACCAATCAGGAACCGATTGTGAAACAAATAGGCAGGAAGAAATGGAGATGGATTAGCCATACTCTGAGGAAACCACCAAGTGACATCACTAGACAAGCCCTCGAGTGTAACTCGAAAGGGAAACGGGGAGTTGGTCGTTCAAGGGTGACTTGGAGGAAGAGGAGATGAAAACATGTGGGCAAACTTGAAGCCCGTTGAAAACTTAAGCAGAGAAGCGAACGCCATGGAGATGTGCGGCTGAAGCCCTATGTTCTTCTATTAATTAGAGGAAATAATAATAAACTTTCTGGATGAATATATTTGGTTTTAATCGTCTACTGACAGTCGCTTCAGTAATACCCAGCGACTTGGGGGTGTGGTGAGTTTTAATTAACTTAAGGGATTTCAATGCATCGTTTGCATGACATCTGTCCATCAAGGTGGTGAGCAATCGTACTACTAAGGACTTTCGCAGATTTCTTGGAATATGATCAGATGTGCGGTCAGAAATCCTTCTTTCTGTCTGTCTGTCCCTTACAGCTTTATTCACTTTGTAGCATTCATCCGTAATTCTAAAGTAATATTATTATTATTCTAATTGTTCTCATGCATACTAACGAGCTTGACATAGACTTCTACTTATATTCCTTTCCATTATGCAACTTAATCACATGATATTAATACTCTTCATCTTTATGACCAATAACTAAAGTGTTTGAATATTTTATATTTTGATATTGAATTATTCATGATTGTACGCAGGTGACATGAACCAACGAAATAAAATGGCGTAATTTTACCCTGCTTACTATGTTCTTTCTGCTTTGTTGAAGTTTATCAATGGAAATAATTGTATGAAAATTCATATTAATCTCATAGGTATGGTAACTATCTTCTGTAATCGTCTTGGTTGGAGTCATATGGAACGTATAATAGCGAATTTCCAGTCACGTTTATGCTATGGTGTGTCTGAAGAACTTGTTGACTTGATACGTTTACTCCCCTTGGTTAATGCTGAACGTGCTCGGGCTTTATACGCAGCTGGTTATACTTCCATATCATCATTGGCTACTGCACGTTCTCAAGATATTTCAAGGGTTTTACAACGTGCAATACCTTTTGAACGGTGAGTCGATACACCTTTTGTCAATATATTTTTCAGTTCATTTATTCTGTTGCCTTTTTAAATAGACGTTTTTGCTGAGTGGTGTGTTAGTTACTGTTGTCATGTGTCGAATTTCTCGTAGCAATGATGACACAAGTCTAAGTAGTTCGGTTTGTTAATGCAGTGAAAATCACATAGGAATTTCAGGTGTACTTGTGTTACGTCTACTTTGATAATTCGTGGAACCAAATAGAATAACTGGGTTTATTTTTGTTTGAACTTTCTGTTAAATATTTTACATACTTAATTTTTATCTCGCATGTTATCGTGGGTGACAGTTGCCTCCAAGGTCAAAACTAGTAATCAGTTGCTGTTTATTTTAATAACTGCAAAGTGTGTAAGGAATATACATTTAAAAGGAATTGTTTACAAAATTCCTAAAATAACCTACTTTTTTGTCTAGTTAGAATAATCTGCTTTATTTATATTTGACACAATGTGCGTCGGTGGCACAGTGGCTAGGACTCTCGCTGACCATGCACATGGTCCGGGGTTCGAGCCCGCACCGACGCACATGTGATATCTATTGTCGGCCTGCAAAATTTGGGCTACCGATATCCATGCTGAAAATTCCATACTTGTACCAAAAATACAGTGTGGAATCAAGCTGTAAATCAAAAAAAAGTATGAAAAGTACCCATGTGACAGATCAGTAAAGAATATTCGTTATGTAACCTCACTCCAACGCAGTGCAGTTACATAATATTGCTGTAAAGGTTCAGGGGATTCCTGTTAAGGTCAATTAGTCATATCATCTAGTAACGAAACATATGAATATACATGTCAAGCAAATTGGGTCACGTAATCTTAAGACGACAAGTGATGTTCATCGCTCAGAAATGGTTACCATTAAAGAAAACTAAATATGACACGGCCTCGGAAACAGGAACATTGTTTAAAAGGGTGGTGAGAGGTTAGGCATATTTACAAAGTATAATTTAATGTTAGGAGTCTAAAAGGAGGCAAATAGGAATAAGATTGAAACCAAATGAATGTGCATTAGATACCATATTATGTATGTGACTTAAAGAAGGGACCGTGGCCTTAAGCCACGGTAGTAAAAGGGATTGGATAAACCTTGCCTGCATACACAGTTCAAGATTTTCCTTGGGTATAGCAAAACCTTCTGATATGGGCAGAAGATGTAGTCGGAATGATTTGGGTGAACAAGGTGCTCTACAGTTGAACTATTTGTTGGTCTAATTTTTCCTTTCAACAACCTTATTTTTTATATTTAAAGATAATATCGTTCATAATATGCATGCACATTCATACAACCCTATTGGTAAGTCACTGTGAAGTTATGTTTAGAAGGGTAAAGCCTGATGAGATCATATGGAAAAGAATATTGTTCACAATGTGTGTGCAATATCTTGTCATCGCATTAGCAAATAGGTATGATTGGCTTAATTTTTGTCTATTTTTGAAATTCCATACTGGGTACATCATTTGTTGTAGTAGTGCAGCCGTATTATTTATTTACTGAGCAAGGATTGTATTCACACCCCTTGGTAACTTATTTTATACCTACCAACGAAGTTTGAAGCAAACTTTCTCGGCTTAACAACCCGGTAGATAAAACTAAAATAACAGGTGATGACTGTGAGGTAGATTACCTAGGTCAAACTAGTAGACTGGTGTCATTGAGATGATTAGAAATTAGGAGTGATTGACTTTGATTAATTATGTTACATGATGAGAAAGGCTCGGCCATTGCGACGCACTCATTTGCATTTAATCACACAGTATATTGGATTAGGTTAAAATATAAAAGAGTAGTATGGTTAAGTAGAAGGAGAGAGTTTAACCAGGTAATCTTTGTTCATCAAATCCACCCTAAGCATGTACAATCGAAATAATGCAGTGCCTATATTGGATATTTGAAAAATCGCAGTAAAATGCACGATTGCACTATTATTATTTGTATCATATTACGGACACATGATTCGCAATGTTGAATTACACTAGTAAATAACAATTTAAAGGCTTGTGGTTTTCAATGGCTCCACAATTAGTATTGCTATATTATCATTGAAATCACACTGGAAATAACCTACGTTTGACTTTTTCTATGATTACAGAAAGAAAAGCAGTGAGAATTCTGCAAAAGCATCATGTCGTACAATTCTTTTAGATGATGGGAACGTAATCAATGAACAAGAAGCTGCACCATTAATTATTCAGCAAGCTAAACGATTATTGGAAATAGATTTAGCTTCAGTCTATGGGAAAGATCTAGTTATTCTGTCCAAAGAAGATGAGAAAGTGATGCAGTCTAAGGAGAACATGACTATTGCTGATTCACCAGTGCATCAATCACAAGTGCTTGACAAAACTAAAAACACAATAAACGAGTTGAATAGTAGTCAATTAATACTGGAAAATACAATCTCTTCCAGAGATATGAATGTAAATGGTGATCATAGTGGGAATCTCGATTCTGCAGAGGATAGAAAACGTTCCAGTAGTTCTGTAGGCGAAGACCACGAAGCGAAACGCCAAAAGGCTCCCGAAGAGAATGTTGTTCTTACATCAGTGATGTCGGCAACGACGACGGCGAGTAGCACTACCGTTCCCACAACCACTAATACTTCTACTAACAGCACCATGTGTACAGAATTGTCATTTGGTAGTGATGACTCTATTTCTGATGACTATCGTAATAACACCGGAAATCACACTTACAACAATGAGGAAAAATGCGCTTCATCTCAGAAGAATAGTACAGATTGTAATGTCGATCATTGTGAGGATCAAATTTTAACATTTAAGTCCCAAGTTTTGGATGTACAGTGTAATAAATCCACACACCTTCAGGATACAATGATCTCTAAAGATTTTGAGAATTTCACTCAGCCTAGTCAGTCTTTCATTTTAACCAGTCAATTAGCAGCTATTGTTGATAATCAAATTTCAATAGTTAATAATACAAAAACAGAAAACAGTGTGATGAATGTTTCAGTTAGTCATTGTACATCTGTACAAGCTTGCAGTGAACAGTCTGAATCTTCAACTCTGTCGTCCTCATTAATATCCTGTGATAATGTATTCGAATTAAATGATACGCTTACATTTTCAATGTTTGAAAGTTCATTTCCTGCATCCAAGGCTAATAGTAATAATAATAATAATGACAACAATTTTAATGAAGACGCATCCAAACAAAATGAAGAATTAACTGTAAACTTTGATTCACAAATCTTGCAAAATTTTATGATGGTAAGTATACTATTTATTGGTGTCATAATATCTTTCAATATTTCTATCGCCTAAATTTTTATTATTATTATCACTAATGATTACTAATAGTTGTCGTTTCTTTCATTTCTCTGCAAAGAAGTGTAAAGACTGACATAAACGAAATTCTTTTGTACTTATTTTTCATATCGAACTGATAACTACTCAAGATGAGTGTCAGTTAAATAATATGTAGACTTGACTACTAAAGAATCATGTATATAGAGCTTCCAACTGTTTTTTTTTTCATTTTTGTTCCTTTACCTTCAGAACGGAAAATAGGGCTTCAAGCTTTGGCTGCGAAGTTTCACTATTGGTAAATTTTTTTACTTTGCGGAGTAGGGTTGCTAGCCTCACACCCAATCTTCCCTGTTCGCCGGCCCTACTTACCGGCTTAGCCAGGTTTACGAGTGCGTCGGGGTGGATCGAACCACGTGAAATATTGAGATGGTAATATTATCAGTAGTAAAAAGCTACAGGAAATGCGAATGCGGAAGTTATAATAGAAGTAGGTGTACAATTGATATGTACCACTCATTCTAAAATACTTCACATAATTTTCCCATTAATCGATTTTGGTAATTTTTAAAACTCACATCAGAAACCATAAAAATATAGCTAACATAAAGGTTAAGATTGCCCTCCAATGCTGATTTAGATTACATGTCGCTATCGAGTTCGTTGTAGACTTGTGTTGTTATCTGAACGGTGTTATCTGGAACATAAAGAACTATCGTGTAACATTATCTCTTACAGTGAATCAACAAATTTATAATTTTTTCAAACTCTTCCTCGTATTTGATATTTTACCTTGTGATTTGGTGTTTACTTAAATTATTAATCAGTAGACAAATTTATTTCGCAAAAATATAATGAACCATCAACTTTTCGAATTCTGATGCTAATTAAGTGTGATTTGTTCGTCATAATACCAAAACGTTTCGATGAGTCTCTTTGTATTTTGCTATGAAAATATATATTGTTTTATACAACATTAAATATTCCTCTTTCTTATTATAGTCACAGATCACTTTCGATACTGAATATGAAGACAAACAGAAACTAGTTTCTCCCAGTCAACCACCTGGCACCAAACCATCCATATCTATCAATGAAGACGATACAGCTTTGGGAACAGAGAGGAAGAGTGTTGGTGACTTATTTAACTCATCATTCACATTTGATCTGTCAGCAAATAAACAATCACAGTAAGTTTCTATCATACTTCTGGTGAATTTAGCTACGTTTCTGACTAGAACTTTGACTTGATAACATCCAGCGACTGATTAGAAAATTGCTTCCGAGCTGAATTGTGCATGGAAGACTCGCTGGTGATTTCTAGTGTATGCAATAAGTTTATCGGATTTTCAAACTAATATGCCGGTATATCTCAGTAAACCTTCTGTCACCGAGTACAATATAATATAAACCTTGCCCCCACTTTTCAAGTGTCAAAAATTACTACCCAGAATTCCAGGTGTTGAGGTCCTCGGGACGGTAAAAACCAATGATTGGAAACAATCGGTGATATGGCTCAAAATCGTTCTCAGTGACGCAGATGCATCCACTCCTTGTGACTTATGATCTCCAATGAAACTGTTTTGTTCTTCGTCATTACTATTCCTTTGTCTCACTCCTCTGTTTACTGTCTCTATTATGCACTTCTTCTATCTTCTCCTCTTGCTTTGTGTGCTACATGGAGTGGAGTGTGACGACTTGAACTTCCGCACATATGTGCAAAGTTCTATGTCGAAAACAGACAGACAGACACTGTGTGAAGCAATGTTTTTCAGAAATTAATGACCCAAGTTAACATAAGGGAGATAAAACAACACAACTAGATAATCTCGGTTTTATAAGTATATAACTGAAATTATCTCCATTTCAATGCACTAATGTTTTTAGCTTTGCTTCAATAAGAATTGGTTAGGGGATTTCATCATTAGCTGACATCACTTAAAGAACCATTGGAAAATTTGAGCGTGCTGGACACCTGTTTCATCCTTGTTTGGGAATGTTCATCAGTACGCGCCCACCGCCAGGGTTGGAACCCAAGGTGAGGTCGTAGACCATTAAGCAGCTGGGAAACGATCTATTGGCCAGCCCATGAATTCTAACTTCTGCCAATTCATGACATAGCGTGACCACTTCGCTGAAGAGTAACGAAACTAGGACGAAACAGCTGTCCAGTACTCCCTGCAGGTTTTCCAATGGTCCCTTAACTGATGTCAGCTCATGATGAAATCCTTCAACTAATCAAACAAAATTCCTACAAACCAATACTTGAAAATCAATAAGAATTAACACGTATGAATATTATTAATCCATCATTTTCCACCGTTTTCTTTTATAGGGATTCATCATCATGTTGTCAAAACCGTAATTTTGGTGAAGCTTTTAGATGTAAAGCAAGTGAGTTTGAGCCATTTTTGACTCATCTGTAATTTTTTAAAAATTATCAATGCATCCATTATTTCTACAATTAATTACGTTTCATTCTGCATTAGTCGTTTGAACATTTTACAAACGGCACAACCAAATGTTTAAAATTCTTGGAATATTTCCGGCTCCAGTTTCCTCATATTTCAAGTGCGTTAAGAATAAGTCACTGTGCGTCGGTAGCACAGTGGTTAGGACTCTCACCGACCATGCACCTCGTCCGAGGTTCGATCCCCTGCTGACGCACACCTGATATCTATGGTCGGCCTGCGAAATTTTGGCTACCGATATCCACGCTGAAAATTCCATACTTGTACAAAAAATACTGTGTGGTTTCAAGCTATAATAAAAAAAAAGATTCCTAGTAGAATGGCTTACAATGACGCAGAGTAGTCATATTATTGTTATTTCCCAGGTTCAGCAATGTTTCCTTGGTATTCGTCTAAGAATATCCTCAGTTTCAGTTATTTGTGTTGATGAAAAGTCTACACCTAAACAAGTAGACTGAATTTCCTGAGGAATATTTTAACAGTAAACAACATGCATTAATTAAGAATTGTGTCGTTTTCCTGAGGACTGTAAATTGTTGTGAATGAGAATTTCGATCAGTGATCAGGATCCTACTCTGTGAATGTCGTTTTCATTCTCCAAGACGGTCGTGATCCCATTAGAACATTATCAGTTTAAAAGCGGATTGCTAAATGGGTCGGAGATGTCCGTTTATGCTTCTATAGATAATTTATACTTATTTTACAGTATGATATGAACTCATACATAATATACTGTTCTTGAATATCTATAAAATTTGACTTCTGTAAATCGCTTTGATATTATTGTAACCACTTCTTAAATCATAATAAGATAAAACAAATTCATGAAAAAGGTCTTCTTCTAAATACTGTGGCTTATCGAATCATTCGAAAATATAAGGTTGATTGGTGGATGGTGACTAGCAGTGGAATTCAGGATGCGCATTTCGTCCTATTTGGGATACATTTGGAAATATATCAAAATTTATCAATTCAGGTTATCAAGAGTTGAAGTTTTAGAGCTTGGTAAAAATGAGTGATAAAGGAATGTAAAAACTGGAGACAGTCTTCTACTGATTAACTTTTTCTGATATACTAAACATATGTAGTTCTGACTCACTTGTCTAGACTGCATTACCAAGTACCGGCTGATGGATTTGAAGCTCTGCTCCAGTTGCTCATTTTTGTCAGATAGTATTTAATATTCTTACCATTGGTGTTGGCCGTTGTCTGATGCACAGAAATGCAGATGGGATTTTTATTTCATCTACTTAAGATGTCGTACAGAGTGCTTAGGTTTATTTCTCCTGCATATTATTGAAGGTTTAAAGGAGTAAGTATTAAATAACTCGTCGAGTAATACGCTTATATTCATACTTAAATTATATAATTCATTTTTACTACTCATTTGACCCGATTAATATTCAATGAATTATCTTTTGTCAGGTGATGGGGATAAATTATTAATTGTAAATTTTTATTTATTCTAGGTAGTGTTATAAATAATGTATACCCGCATTTTTTATATTCATAGATACTGTTGTCCTTCCGACTGATGTTTTACCTGTGGAAGTCGTTAAAACTGGTATTAATAATATAAATAATGGTGGCGATGATGATGAAGATGACTACAACTGTGATAATAGAGACGATTTATTCTCTATCATTGATGTAACTCAATCATATTTCCTATGGAAAACTTTCCTTGACGATCTGTATAAACGTATAGATGAAATAAGTAAACAAAATTCTACTAATTCAAATTATATCGCTGTACAACCTGGTTGGAGTGTAAACATGAACTGCCCTAATCAAGTAGATACTGTTAATGGAAAGGATTCATTAGAATGTTTAATTTGGCGTTCTGGACCTGGGGGATATCCAGCTACTGGTGGTGGGAGAAGTATGTGCATAGATTACAACTTGTATCTTAGTGGGTTATCACTTTCTTCAGTATGCCTCCGATCTAATGTTGTATTTTGGATTGATTTTGTTTCACAAAATGGTAAGATTTCACAGTGTGTTATGCATTATTACTGTTACTTTTACTATTTTGTAGTTCTTCTTGTGAACTAGTTCTATTTCCTGAGTTTAATTTATTGATTAGTGACTGTTATGGCTACTCATGAACATAGATTTGTGAAAAGTCGATGATGCATGCCGTCATCAAATAACGAAGTGTAACCAGTGTAGTATCTCGTTATGAATATTGATCTTGGTAACTTTGTAATATGACTGCGAAATACCCTGCTCTTCGTATGATATATTTTATCACTGTGATTCATTCAGTAAACAAACTGATATTGAGAAAAATTACGCACGTTCTCACTTGCTTCTGTGCATTTTTTTCCTGTTCGCAGCCCTTTTGCATAATAGTGGTTATTTACCCTTTCGAAAAGTAACTTACTTCTCCACTTTGTTGAAAACATATCATTTTGCATATAAAATACACTAGATGAAACCGGGAATTTACTTCCCTAGTTGCATACCACTAAGAAAATTACGTTGGAAAAACCTTTTATAATTGTACTATTCATTTAAGACTGTATAGACACGTATTGATGATTGATTTAGGCATGTATTTAGAAATACGTACGAATAGTTAGCTAGCTTGCTAGTTTTCTAGCCGGTCCCATGCCCCGGTGAAGAGAGAGGGTTGGGCGTGGGGCTAACCCCCACACCACTAAACCTATCAAACCACTAGAGAAACTTCAACGCACAGAACTTATATTCAAAATACAAAAACTTCAGATAACAGTCTTATTCTTTGCTGGAATCGGAGAAGCGAAATCACGCGGGCTGGTGAAATCCTTCGCGAATACAGTCAGCTGATGTGTCTCTGCTCGATGAAAGCAAGAATAAGAATGAAGACGTGTAATATTCGTAAAACGCATGCGACACAGAAGGATACACAGGTAGCTAAACAGATGACTATATATGGTATAGAACTGTTCGCAATCTGAGAGAGCACATGGAATGGATGTGAACTATCGAAATTGTCAACTGGAGACTCGGTAATCTACTGTGGTCTGGTCACCCAGACAACAACCATAAGCACACTGAGGCATTAGTGAATGGCTATCATGATTTCACCAACACTTGCCAAAGCTCGAAGGGGGTGGGAAACAATCTCCTCCTGCCTCCTAATGGCAGCAAGATTCAACTCAAAAAAAGGGAGGGAAGGAAAGAAAGAAGAAAGCTTACAATCATCCAAAACTACACAACTCGAAACAATTGAAGGAGAAAGATTTCCACAGGCAACTGAAAACAGTGATAGACAACATTCCGAATCGAGACATCAAAATCCTAATGGGCAATATGAATACCAGGCGAACTGGGGGCAGACGATACAGGAAGAGAACTCATCATGGGTCGACGGGGTCGGTCGTTCGGAGCAATAAATGATAATGGAGAACTCTTCTCAGGCTTCTGTGCCTTCAATGATTTGGTGACTGGAGTCAGCGTGTACAAGCACAAGGATATCAACAAGGCTTCATAGATTTCACTTGACGGACACACCACAAACCAGATATACTACATTTCAACGTTGCTCAAGAAAGTGGAGACGCAATCGACTGGTTACGATGTCAAGAAGAGGAGAAGACGTTAGCTCAGACCATCATCTAGTTTGAAGAACCTTCAAATTGAAGCTGAAATACTTCAAAACAACTGAAGATAGGAAACAATTGAAGTTCAGTATTCAGAAACTGAAAGACGAAACCAAAAAAGATACCCTCATTGCAACCATCGGAGCGATTTGGGAGACACCACGTGGTGTCACCGAGAAAACCTGCATGGAAGAACATTGTAACTCTCTGATGGTGTTACTTTAGGGAACGTGTACAAACGCTCTAGGAAGAGAGAAGAGACACGACAAGGAATTGCTCTCAACGGGCACCTAACTGAAAGCTCATAGAAGGGAGGAGGGGAGAATGGTGAAAGAGAAAATGACTCAATGCAAAAATGGACACCAGAAGGAAAGTCTGAGTTCAGTGTACATTGCACTGAATCAAGAAAGACGTAAAGAAGGGTGCTAGGAGAGACGAAAGACACACTGGCCGCCAACTGAAACAGAACAGGCAGGCCGAACGTAAAACAGATCTAGGGTTATCAGATAACCAGATCTCTATCAGCGAAGTGATCAACACAGGTAAAACCTATTCGAGATGGCCAAAGGAACGTGATAACCAAGAAGGAGAAACGAATAAAACAGTGTGTTGATCACTTCAAACGACTCTTGAATCGACCATCACCTGCAACTCGCTCAGATATACCACTAGCATCAACAGAATACCACACAGCATACACACAACAATCAACGAGTTGACACCAACCCCCCAACGAAAGCAGAAATCCGAAATGCATTCAAGATGCTGAAAACTGTCCGCGAAGGCACGAGGGCCAGATGGAATTCTCCCTGACGCGCTGAAGAAGGACACAGAGACTGCACTGGATATGCTCACACTAAAAATGTAAGGATTTCGGAAGGAAGCGAAGGTGCCTGCTGACTGCAAGGAAGGCTGCTTCGTCAGACTGACAAAGAAGGCTTACCTAGGACTGCAACAACTGGAGTCGAATCATCCTCTCGTCCACGCCAAGTAAAATGCTAGGTTGCATCATCCCGGAGAGAATATAAGATGGATTGGATACAGAACACCGCAACCCCCACCGACCAGAACAAACTGGATTCACGAAAGGCAAATCATGTACTGATCAAATTAAAACTCTACGCATAGTCATCATCATCGAACACAGCATAGAATAACAGTCAAACCTCTCTCTACCTCAACTTCATCGACTTTGGAAAGGCCTTCGACAGCGTTGACCACGAAGTAGTTTGGAAATTTGTTAATTTGCTTCAACATTACGGCATGCAGTGCCGAAGTTCTTAACAACCTCATATAACAGCTGGCCATATGACAATGCCACTTGTCAAGTGATCCACAGTGGAAAACTCAGTGAAGCGTTCAAGCTGGATACAGGAGTGAGACAAGTCTGACTACCTATTATCACCGATGATATTCTTAATTTTGGTGGACTGGAATATTCATCAGACTGTGCACAGGGAGTGAGAAAACAGGAATACGGTGGACGAACGATAAGGAGACTCCAGTAGATCTGGATTTGGCAGATGATATATATCTAGTTTCACACAAACTAGAAGACTTGGAGCGAAAACCAACAAACTGCCACATGAGGCTGGGAGCGAAGTCGGGACCGCAAGTGAAAATGAAGATGAAGGTGATAAAGCCAACTAACCAACAACAACCAGCACCAATCACCATCAACAGGAGAGATTTCAATGAGGTTACTTTCTTCACTTATCTAGGAAACATCATTTCCTCTACAAGCGGAACGCATGAAGATATCATAGTCAGGATCAGAAAGGCCAGATATACCTTCGTCAATCTGAAACCAGTTTCGAAATCTTCTGCCTCACTCAGTCAGCATAAGGAACAACATTCGTCGGTGACACAGTGGTTAGGACTCTTGCCGACCATGCACATGGTCCGAGGTTCGACCCCCTGCCGACGCACACCTGATATCTACGGTCGGCCTGCAAAATCTGGGCTACCGATATCCATGCTGAAAATTCCATACTTGTACCAAAAATACAGTGTGGACTCAAGGTGTAATCAAAAAATAAATAAATAAGTAAATAAAAAGATTTTCAGCACCAATGTTAAGTCAGTCAGTTCTTCTGTACGGGTCAGAAACTTGGCCAGCGTATCACAAAAAGTATTTCCAACAGGTTACTGCATACGTTTATCAGCACCTGCCTTCTATCAATACTGGATATCAAGCGACCAGCCTGCCAGAAGGAATTAGCAACAAGAAACTCTGCCTGGGAGCAAACCAACTGAGCAAAAGCCGATCGCTCAACAAGTATGTGGGGAAAAACGGAGATGCATCGGGCGTACGTTGAGGAGGCCGTCGAACGACATTGCGCGCAATACAGGCTGTCGTTCGTGTGGAGTCCCAATGGAAGTAATGAATGGGTTGTCCTAGGCTGACATGGAGGACGTTGTGTGAGGAAGAGATGGGAGATTATAGCCAATAGTGGACCCAGCTAAACATGACTGCAGGAAACAGAAGAAAGTGAAGATGTGTTGTTGAAGCCCTATGTTCCACTCGGAACCCAAGGGAACAATGATAATAATAATACAATACCGGCAAGACTTTGAGGTGTTCATATTTAACTACTATTTAGATTTCTTCCAAACACTGAAGTCGTTATGGGTTGCGCAGTCAAAAGGCAAACATCACGATTGAATGTAGTTAAATTCTATGCTTGTCATTGCTTTGCCCTGAGTAATGTATAAAGTGACTATATGATCAGATGGAGTACTATCATGTATATAGGAATCGCATAAGTGTGAAGTTTTCATATCTAATAAGCGAGGTAAATGTGGCATAATATTCAGTGTAGGCAGTGTTTTACTCATGGTTAGATTTCAGGGAAGAAGATGAGTGAATACAAAAGTTCCTCATTTCATGAAACAGTATAACTGAAGTTAATAAACAAATCAGATGTAATGTGTCGCAGAAGGATACGAATCTCATAAGCTCTTAATATTAGTTGTCTGATAAGTTCTGATGCCGATCTAAGTTGGCATAAATTACCCAGGGAAATGACCGATTGTTTATTTATGAGATTGTTTGCGGTGGTCGTCATTATGTTGTACACCATTTATTCACACTAGGCGGGATAAAATTCTGTATAGTTTCAATTGCTACAAATACGTTCTTTTATATAAGAATTACTTATTCAACTAGTGCTACCATCCACTTCATCTCTTCAAACCAGTCGTATTTTGAATAATTTAATGCCGGTAACTTTTTCATTTTCGTTATCTAATTTTTGTTCTTTTTTTTCTTCGTTAAAACAAATATCTTCAAGATGTCAATAGAGTTCCAGTTAGTAAGTGTTTAGCAGATATTCGTGATTTATTTATTTACATAAGTCACCACAATATTGGTTTAATTCTTTGGGATGTTAAATGGTGGTATCGTATTGTTTACGATTTATTCAAACTACCATTTGGTACAAAATTTCAAATATACAATCCGAATCTAGTGAATTGGTTAAAAAATCAAGATTTAGGTCAAAGTTCTTTGTTGAATGAAGCAAAAAAACTAAGTGCCAACACTGTTGACTTACTGAGCAAGGTTACATCATTTGCTGAACTTCTAGGTAAGTTTTTTGTTACAATATTGCTTCTATCAATTTTTAGTCGTTTTGTGTATATTTTAGTGTAAGTGATATATTTTATGAATTCCAGTGTATTTCTACGCTTGGATTCGGTTAGTTACGAAAGCGTCCAACAACTTCCTTGTTCGGTTTAATCGCTTATGAATTTGACAGCAGTTATGCGGTCGCTACCTCCCATGCGACCTACAGGATGTCATTTCTCTCATTTCCATCTCTGGACAAAGCGCACTGCATAGATTATAAGCTCTTGACCCTTTTCCCGTAGGTATTTATGTAAGCGATGGAGTTCTACTTAGTAAGCTATAATCTGACTACTATCTGTACATTTCGCGTATTTATACGCGAAACGACTTCCTTCTGCTGACTCTTCAGGAAACTGGTATGTTGATTCAAATTTAGCAAATGAAATGCCTCTTTCACTCACCGTCAGTATTCAATGTCTGTTCGTGATTTCGACACAGAAACAGAATACAGCGTACCCTGTTAGCAGGTTAACAAAAATTATATTCAAGTGTTGGTTTACAGGGATTTTATTTTCAGGATTTCATCATGAACTGACACCGGTTAGGAGACCATTGGAAAACCTGGACATTTTTTTATTCCTAGTCTGGTCCCAGTGACTTACTCTTCTGCGAGCTCACCTTGTAAGTAGAAGGTCCTGGGTTCTAACCTCGGTGGGTGAGTACTGATGAAGAGTCTCAAACTAGGACGAAACAGCTGTCCAGTACTCCTAGGTGTTTCAATGGTCTACTAACCGATGTCACTTCATGATGAAATCCTGACAGATTGTATTGTTCTTCAACCGCTTTAAACTCTTCCGCTCAGTTGTGTATGCTCGTACTGTGGTGAGAGCAGGCTGCTAGCCGATTGGTTGGCACTAATCTACGTTAATGTCTAGGTCACTAATATTGACCGTGAACAAGGCTGTTTCAACAACCAATCACAGCAAACCTAAATGTGGACAAATATGATTCGCAGATAGATGGCTCTACTTTCCGAGAAATATCGAACACAACCAATCATAAGACTGTGTTTGTCTGCTTAACTTCCGAGAAACAACCAATCAGAAGACTGCCTTTTTCTGCTTGCATAAGCCTTATTAATGCATATAAAATATATATAAATACGTGTTGATTTTCGTAATAAAACGATCTGTTGCCAGCCCTTGTCTTCTGTTGTTACATTTGGTGTCGCTGCCTCCAAGAAGATGAAGATCCCGGTGCCAGCTGATGAAAGGTGACCGGTATATACGACCACCACTTCAGTCGATTCCAGTTACCGCGATAGGTGACTTGTGGTCCGTAGATGTCATGGGTCCATTTCCTCAGACATCCAATGGTAATCAGTACCTCTTGGTGATGACGGAACACGCGACACGATGGGTAGACGCCGTAGCAATCCCAGACCAACGTGCAAGAACCGTGACAGATGCAGTAGTTAGACACATTGTTGCAGACCACGGCGTACCGAAGACAATACTGACAGACCAAGGTCCCTGTTTCGAGAGTGAAGAGTTTACTTCCCGTTTGCAACAGCTGGGCATCAAGAGGATCAGAACGACCCCATACCATCCACAAACGAATGGCCTAACGGAGAGAAACAACCGTACACTGAAAGAGTGGCTGGCTTCGAAGGGCGGGAACTGGGAAACGGAGCTTCCACTGATTTTACTAACACATCGGGCTACCACTCAGGAAACAACGAAGAAGTCACCCTTCCAACTGATGTATGGCAGAAAACCACGATTACCGGTACACAATGAGACCTGGCCCATGCACCAAAAGTGGAGTACGACGAAATTAAAAGCAGAGAGGAAAGAGGCAGTCAAGAATGTAATACGGAAGCAGCGCAGTGATGTCACGAAGTCTCAGATGAAAGAAAGGACGCAGTGCATTACTTTTGCAGTCGGGGACCAAGTGAAGTGTAGAGACAGGAGATATACAGTTGGAGGCGGGCTAGGTTCACGGAAACTCCTTCCAAAGTGGGAAGGACCATACACAATCACAAAAAGACGGGGTCAAGTATATACCATCCGAAGAGGTGATAAACAGAAACGAGTTAACGCCAGTCAGCTACAAAGATGGGTACAGTGGGACAAGCCGGTCAGTAACAATCCTCAACTAGAGGATGTAGCACCCAGAAGGTCGGAACGTCTGCGCACAAAGCTATTTGACGGGGGGACGAGTGTGGTGAGAGCAGGCTGCTAGCCGATTGGTTGGCACTAATCTACGTTAATGTCTAGGTCACTAATATTGACCGTGAACAAGGCTGTTTCAACAACCAATCACAGCAAACCTAAATGTGGACAAATATGATTCGCAGATAGATGGCTCTACTTTCCGAGAAATATCGAACACAACCAATCATAAGACTGTGTTTGTCTGCTTAACTTCCGAGAAACAACCAATCAGAAGACTGCCTTTTTCTGCTTGCATAAGCCTTATTAATGCATATAAAATATATATAAATACGTGTTGATTTTCGTAATAAAACGATCTGTTGCCAGCCCTTGTCTTCTGTTGTTACAGTACTACTAAGTATAGAAATTCTACAATACCCTATTTAGCGCGTACTTTATGTGACGAAGACTCTGTTAGACGTGAAACTTACAAGTTACTATGTAATTAGCACAGTGAATCTACCCTTTTATCGTTTCATCTTTCTGTATTTTATGGTGTTACACTTTCTATCGTTTAAATCGTTACTCTGCTATTTTATATTAGTTGGTATTACTATTATTACTACAATTTTGTACTTTATACATATTTTTCTCCGTATGGCACACAGTATTTTGCTACGCAGCTGCTACAACAATCGTTTTATTACTATTATGTATTGTGTATTTTTAATTTTTTTTTGTTGTCGTTTTTGGGTAAATTAGATGCAATATTGTACTGAATGCTGAAAATTCCTTGCTGTATCATGAGTACTGTTTTTGGAATAAAGCAATTATTATTATTATTATTATTATTATTATTATTATTATTAGTGTATGCGAATCATCGATCAGTAGAAAAAGCTTCGTCGCTAGGCTACATAATCAATGTAGTTGACTTTTTCGCCTGAATATAACTATTAAGACTTTCTGCATACATATCTTGAGTTAGTAATTCCCCCTTTGATAAGACGAAATTATTTTGAATTATCAACGTGAGTCTTTGTTAATTAGGTAAAATATTCCAACAATTTTAAACTGGCAGATATAGGATTAAAGGTTGTCAAATTTATGTATTTGTATGGATGTTAGTTTTCGATAAACACTTTTTTCCAGACTACCATCCTCTCTGTTTTAATTTGCTGTGCAACACTGTTACTTGAAAAGCTTTTCAAATAAAATATGATGACTTATGTTCATATACTTTATTCATTATCGTGTATATACAATTGAATAACCAAGCTAGTTACAAAATATAGTCAAAAATTATCTATCTAGGCTGTTTTGCAACCATTTTATGTCGGTTGTTAAACTATTCAAGTCATCAAAATCTTTTGTTTGAACAACGCACCAGCAATCTTGATAACTCTTGTTATTGCGAGATTTACCACATTTCACCAAATATGTCTCTAAATTCATGTGGTCTATCGAATTTCAACCAGTAAATTTCATTTTAACACGGTTACCTAATTTGCTATATGTATTTTGTCGTTATGTCGACACTGTGTGTTTGTTTTAGTGCTTTGTGTATAGAGTATCAGTTCACACAGTAGTGACAGTTCGATAATTTTGAATATTCTCATTAACTTATTCCTGTCGATGTCAATCGATATTTAATTTGAAATGAAAGGTTTATCGACTTTTTAACTCTGAATAAAGTATGGATTAAGATTAGACAAAAATAGCTGTAAATAATAAATTGTTTAATTAACTCAAGGCCTCTATTTCCCACGATTAATTTAACACACTCAAATCTGTAGGAAAATAAGGCTGGATTATCAATCGCGGTTTCATAAACTGAGTGTTTTTGTTTATGAAAGTATGTAGATAATTTCGTTACGAGTCTCGTATATTCGTTTATCCGATTGTTTATGTGAGAGTGTAGTAATGGTATTTTCAAACAATCCTAAAGTGCTTCAAGATATTCCTCGCGTTTAAAAACCTTATGGTGTATGAAGCATCCGCATTCAGACTAGTCGGACGCTGGCCATTAAATTTTAAACAATTTCTAAGCTGTATTTTCAAGAAGTTCGATAACTGTTTACAGTGATAATGCAAGTTTTGTTCATTGAGTAGTGAAACTAAGAGGCACTTAAGTTACATTCTAATAGTTTACAGTCACCATTTTACTTACTAAGCAGTTGATCAGACCATTTTACACTAAAGCAAGTATCACTACATAGAACTTACTTGATTTTGTCGATCAAAAGTTGAAATTTGTCCTAACAGTTAGTAATGTAGCTAAAATCTGTATTTCATTTGTCCTCAGTTTTCACCGGCCTGTCTTGTAGTTGTTCTAGGTATAATAGGGGTTAGGTTTATAAACTGTTTTGTCGGGTAGACCAAATGGACAGACTGTAAAAAACGTTTATTTTTTCGTCATCTAAATGCCAGTACAAACAATGCAATGCCATTGCATTCAGTTAATAATAAGTTTGTTTAATTTTATATTCTAGTTATTAACGTTAGATATGTTAGTGTACCATTTATTTCAAAAAAAGGTATCCGTGTTGTTAATGTAAACTGATTTTCATTAATTTATGTGAACTTACGTGGTTATGTCAACAGTTGTGATGAAGACCTTTATTTAATTAATTTAGTCATTTCAGATAGTCCTTTCTGCATATACAAAATTGGACATTTGTACATATTAGAATTTTAAATTTAGGTAATTAATGAAATGCTTACATTCTAGTAGATACAAGTGATTCTGATAGTTAATTGATTCGTGTGCATCTGAAAGACTGTACTTTGAAGTTATCTTGTTTACTAATGGTTTGGGACACATGAATTAACCTGATAGTGTTTTGAAATAAAGAGTATTAGTTCAATTTTAAGTAGTCCGAAAAACATACGAAATAAAAATAAAATCATACTGAGCAACCATATGCATATTCAAACACTAGATAAGGAGTCAAATGTATCGCGTGAGGGCAGATAGTGCTCCTTATTTGTGCTTCACATATAGAGGTGTAGCACACGCTAAGCATTTGATCGATTGCTTAAATGAATGAGCTGCAGCTAATAGGGGATTGAAGTTAAATAAAGACAAGTATGACCAGACTAAAGTGGGGTATTGACTTACAAAGTGATTGGCTGTCAGTTTGAGCCGTATATGTTAATGTAAGTTTGCTGATTACGGTCAGTGACGTAAATGAAATCACTTGTTGAGGAATTTACGTGATGCAAGTGAAATCTGAATAAATATTTATTATCATATTTCATTATTTGTTGCAACCCCCTTCTCTTGTCCCATAATGTTTCACAGGTTTCCATAGTTTTATTTTCATTTCCTTATCTTCCGTCATGTAATCCATTCCTTGATCTGCGAATACATAGCGTTGATTTCTGCTTGTGTTTTGTTTCATTCTTCAAAGTATGTGGTCCAAAAAACATATATGACTTTTTGATACTTCTTTTACGCATTTTAGAACCTCCAACACAGTTTTCAGATTGGTCTAAAATCCCCAACCTTATTCTTCTTAATCAATGTCCTCCTGCAAACCATCTAAATGGACAGCAGTTATCCTGTCTTCCTGATCATATAAATATAACCGCAGCTCAGTGTTTCTTACTAGCATTATGGACAAATATGAATAGTTACCTGTCAGAAGTTGATCATTCCATACTCAGTTCAATCGAAATGCCTTGTCAGTCATTACTGGCTAAAATGGAGTCGCATGGTTTCAGTGAGTAAATTATGGATACGTTTTGTGTGCTCAAGTGTCCTATTTTTAACCATCTCACATAATCCTTTAATTTATTATACAAACTAACAGTAATCCATCATATAGCATATTTTGTGGTTTTCAGATGAACAGAATTAATTGTATTAGACTTTCCATTTATCACCGAATGCTTAGTAATTAAGTATTGTTATGATGTCACTTATGATAATAACTTCTTGCTTATTTACTTGATTCTTGTATGCAGTGACTAGTTTGAAAAGTCCTTCTGCATCCACAGGCATATATTTTTGCATATATTCTTAATCCGTTGAATTTCTCATTGTGATTGTAGACGTTTAACAAAGGAAAACAAACTCTTCGAACGCGTTATACCACTGTTTTTTTTCAAACATTTTTATGGATTACTAATGTAATAGTGCAGTTATTCAGTTGTCGACCATTCTATCAATTGCACTGAATGTTTAATGTTACGATACCCGTAAGATAGTTACAGGGTGTGGATCAGATACCTGTTATTCGGAAGTCCTAAGCCTCAACCGATGGACAGTATCTACTTACCTCTTCAGAATTTACCTGTGTAGCATCTGTCGTAGCCCAAACAGTATTATATTTATAGGCTCAAACCAACAGTCAAACACATCACTGGGTTAATGCCATGTTTTGCTGTGATCATCCCAGCTCTTTCACAATCCAGTCTTATTTCAGCTAACATTGCTTGATGATAAAAGTGATTGTTTGGTATGCACAACACTCGTCCTGGTCGTTTCAACTGATGCAACATCACATTCCTGATTGATTTTCTCTTCTTACCTAACACTTTATAGTAAACCTCGGTGTTAATGTCCATGCTATATAAAGTAACATGGGATATCAAATACAGAGAAATATAGTGAAAAGTAAATAGCCTGTTCATATCTTTCTGTTTCGATGATCATGTTTCACAGTGGTAGGTCGAAAGTTTGAAATTGGCTCCATAGTTTGAATTTTGAGTAGTCAACTGGGTAGCATAATTAGCCTTCAGAACATTTTTGATTCACTGCCAATTTATGTAGCAACATACCACACTTTACTGAATGGTAACAATCAGTCAGCATAATACTAAGGATCCCGATTTAATGGTCCTTCCAAGTTATCAAACCCATTTCACTGGTGAATGTCAAAGATTTAGAAAAAGCTTAGATCGACCAGCATTTTTAAAATCTAACACATGGATTTAATAATTTCTCTAACACATTTGTAGATATCATTTATATAATTTTCGACCAAATCAGTGTCAAATAAAAATGTTTTTATTTCATGTTTGTTTGCTCTTTAACTTTCTTTTTCAGATCTCAATATCGACGAATTAATTAAATGTCATGATTCACTAACTCATGCTTGTAAACAGTTAGAAAGTGTTGCACATCGATTAGCTGGTTTACCATTTCCTATGGATTCACCGAAAGAAATATCTAAAGTATTTATTATTTATTGGTTTATTTATCTGTAACTGTCATTGATCGTTAAAATAATTGTTCCTAGTATTAGTATTACTAGACTGTCGTCTGCATATCGCGAATTTCAGCTAACGTTGCCCATCAAAGGAAGGCCATGGCTGGGAATGCGTTACACATGCCCAAACCATCTCAACCGATGTAGCTTCATAACCTCATCGGCTGATTTTCCCTGCTTACCTAACACTCGACACCTAGCCTCAATATTACTTACTCTAACACGGAAGATAGAACATAGACTCTTATAGTCAAAGACTCTTCCACTTTCAGCAGCCGTGCCTCACAGGCATCAAGGACGATGAGATGTAATACTGAGGAGTGTACGCATCCTGTAGTCGATAGTCGGATACCACGTCTACGCCAGATATGTCGTGCGTTAGCAAATGCCAAATGAGTCGTATCTGTGCTGAGATTTCACCAGTAATCAGTCGGTTGGGGTCGATACAACTTCCAGAACAAGTTATGTAGTCAACACGCTGAACCATTTCACTCCCTATTTTTGAGCTAGCAGTCTGTTTATTTTAAAATTCTTGCGACATATGGTTTTTAAATGGTGAATATAAATCACTAGGATTCGATTATTGGATAGTGCTGAGATAGTGCAGCATACCATAATTTTTGTGGTGGTCGTAAATAATGTGTAAAACAGAAATATATGAAAAAGAATCAAGTCTATTACTTATCATTATTTCAGATAGTTGACTATCATTATTTTTTTTCAGTATCATGACCTGGCTAGAGAATGACAAAGCTAACTATTAAGTGTGAATTTCCGACTTCTTTAATAATGTCATGGTTTAAATTTCATACGAGTCTTGCTGTTCATATTCCAATACTATTTGTTTTGCGTTTTCTTTTTTTTCTCCAAAATAATACTTTATATAGGTATTATTTAAATGGCTTCATCTACCGCAGATATCAGATCCGAAGGATACTATTTTAACAAGAAAACGTAATCAACAAGCCTTATTACTGAATGGTCGTAAACAGTCAGTTCATCTGCCTAGAGCTACTAATGCTGTCCTGTCAAAACTCACTGGTGTTCATCCATTGCCAGCTATTATTATCGAATGGCGTCATCTAAATGGTATTTTAGAAAAAATATTTAATTCTTTAGTTTCAACATGTCGAAATTGTATTTCTGATAGGGAAAAGGTAAGTGAAACATGATTGTTTGACAATTATTAGTTGTACTTACTTCCTCAGATTATGTGAATAAGAAAACATTTGTATTTCAAAATCGTGTATTTCACAGTTGTTATTTGTTTTATCTTTTCAGGCGTGTAGCTCTCATTCACTGATATAGGCATGTCTACTTTTGACCAGTGGGTCACAGTCCCTAACTGTATCTTTCATAAATAACTACGTAACATTCATTCACGTATTGATTTATGAAATCAGTACTTAACTCTTGTCACTCAAATTGATTACAAGGTGATAGTTTTTAGAAAGAGACTTTAAGGATAACTCTTAACACATGGAGTACAGGTTTCTACGATGAAAAAATGCAACAAGCTGTTGCATATTAAATATTTAATTGTTTAGTAAGTGCTTATGCTAGTTAATATTAGTATATAGGTGACTTGCAGCTGCTGAGTCGCTGGTTTGAACGTAGTCTTTTCTAGTGCAATATAAATAGCCAATCGGTTTCATTAGCATTCACAGTAAGTATCACTCACTAACGAACATATATATATATATATATATACGTTAACTAAAATTTGCTTCAAAAGTTACTTGTCCAACATTGTCAGAGTACGTCATATGGTATTTTTATAGGAGCTACGCAACAGGTTGTATTGTGTAAGATACATCGAAATCACATTTATTAGTAAACAAGATATTGTTTATACTTTGAGTATTTGGTAAAAAAGTATATTATTGTATGGGATAGTAAATAAATAAATAATAGGTTTGGTCACTGGGTGACATTATTTCTAGAACCATTGTACAACCAGAGAGTACTGGGAGAGATGTTTCGTCCTAATAATAGTCGCATACAGTTTTGTTTATTAGACATTTAAGGTAACTGAAACAACTGGTCATTTTACTCCAAACTTCTCAGTGGTCCTCCAGTTGATTTCATTTCTTCATCAAAATTAGGATCAATTGAATCCCTGCAGACAAACTGTGGAAAAAGTGTTAATTTAACAACTTGATATGTCTATCGCTAACATACTTGGTATATTATCTTTAGTTTTTAGATTAGCATACAACGATGACATATTTGTACATCGTTGCTTGAACATATCAACAACATCGAAAATATTCGACATTTATGGACACTATCAAGTTACGAAACGGATATTTTCATCTCAGATTGCAAGTTATTGGACTAACTTGAATTTTTAAGTCTTCTGTGCTAATATCTATACAATACTATATCATCAGTTGTAGTGCGTTTCGTTATACTATCACTGAATTACATGAACAGTTCCACAAATAACTTCATCCATTAGACCTGATATCCATGATGATAAAAGTGATTACGATTTAAAATACACTTCAGTATTTCACATTACTTATTCTTTGAAATTCCATTTCTTTAGTTTTTTAAAACTCTTACTCAACTCTTTTTTTTACTTCTTTATTTCAGCCATTACGTGTTTCACCTATATATGATGTATACACAGCTACAGGTCGTATTATTTCAACTATGCCTAATTTACAATCTGTACCAAAAGATATAACTATTGAATGGCCTAAATTACTTTATAAATCTTTGGATAATTCTCAACTATGGCCATCACCATTTGATAAAGTGTTAGCTGAACTTCCCGAATTTAATGAAGTACGTTAAAGATTATATATATATATATATATATATATATATATAGTGGAGAACATTTCAAGCTTAGGTGGATGATATTAAATTAGTTGTGTTCTCTGAGCTGCTTGATTTAATTGCGAGACTTTTTTCATCCTTCTAGACAACATCTTCAGCGCAGGTTCTAGTATAAAATGGACTTATTCAAATTCTGTATGAATGATGTAATTTTATTTCCTGGCAACCACTGCCGTGACCGGTTGTTGATTTACGTCTCTAATGTTCATTTTTATTGACCTGCATTCGAACTTTCTTGTCCTGTGATTTACTTTTTATAAACTGTTAAATTTGGTCTATAATAATGTGTTTGTTAAGTGCTAATTCACTTGAGTACCAGTCTTGTAGGACGAAAGCTTCGCAATTACATCAGTCACCTTGGAGAATACAACTAATTCAATCATATATATATATATATATATATATATATATATATATATATATATATATATATATAAGAGAGAGAGAGAGAGAGAGAGAGAGTGTTTACTTTCGTTCAAACTCATTTAACTCTACGCCCGGGTTGACAATATGATACTTCTTGGTGAGGGATTCCAAACCCTTAGAACTTATGACTTACTAATCACCCTGTGATTTAGGTTAGCCTCACAATACATATTTACTCAATATAGTTAAATCTACTCGGAGCATTTAAGTGTGCTTTCGCTTATAGTTTCAGTCGCTTCTTATTTATACATAATACCGTAGGATTTGGGATTTATGTTACCCTTGAATTTTTACATCCCTCATCAGAACAGATTATATATTTGAGTGTTATATCGCACATCAGTAAGGATTCGAATTCTGCAAGCAATATATTTCTGTTCGATAGTCAAGTAAGCGTAACATTCAGATTCTAGCACGTTGATTGACCCTCACTACTTTTCGTGGGTTGCTGTACGACTGGTTTCCACGAGACTGTTTGAATTCTGATTGTTGGACTATAGAGCTAGATTTGTGGTTGAACATAAGGCTATCAGACACTCGTTGAGGATGCAATAACCATAACTCCCTGCCCCTCATATATTGTTATGAGTATTGTATTCTTTTGCGTTCCGAGTGGAACAATAGAGCTTTGAAGTTTCAGTAGCAGTGGTTTTATATTTATGTGGTTGGATTGCTAGCCTCAGTTAAGAAAAGTTGTATAGATCTCGAATCAGTTTCTTCTCTTCGAATTATAACATTGTTTGCTCAGACTTAGGAAAGGCTTTTAGGTACATTATAAGCTTTTGTAGTTGTTCACAAAAGCATATAAATACCCTACAGTGTCATGCTGCTTATTTTATTTTGTTCTTTTCCTTTCATATTGTTTTCTTTCATATTCTGTCTGCTATTTTGGTATCCTTGTAGATTATAAAACCTCGTCGTGCCTTCTTGGCACCTCCTGGCAGTATACTGATTTCCGCAGATTTCTGTCAACTTGAACTAAGACTTTTAGCGCATTTTAGCAAAGATGCAGAACTTTTAAAGCTTTTATCGGTAGACTCATCAAGTCATATTGATCAGTCGATGGCGCCAAAATCAGAATCAGATGCATTCAAAAAGGTGATTCTATTCACACTGTTCAATATATTTTTTTGTATTATGTTTTTCGTAGGAACTCTTTTACACTTAATATTATATTACGTTCTTGCATGTTCATGTTTATATAAGTGTTAGAGAATACAACTATAATGAATGGATATATACTGTTCTATATTTGGAAATGAAAATAGGGTGCTCTAAACCTCTAGTAGTGATCCAGCAGTTTAAATATTGCTGTTTAAACTATGATAAGTTCATCTTCTGGGTAACTCAATTTCGTAGTTTATATAACTAAAACGAACTGATTCCCAAGTTGATATAGACTGTCATGATAAAAATGGCTTTGAAATAAATTCTAACATTTGTATTTTTCATATATTGGTTTGCGTCTGTAGAAGCTTTACAGATGGGGTGATTCATTGCTCTCTAGCGGCTGACTATTTTCGAAAATTCATCCATCATTACGCGAAAGTAACTTGGCAGTAACTGAATACTTATCATCACCGATGGCATTCTGCCGTGAGTATGGAATACAGGCGTATCTATAAGTATTTCTATCATGTTCATGCTTATTTAAAGTATACTGAGCTTTTGTTATGTCGCTTTGAATTACAGCTTGCCGCACATTGGCTTAATATACCTCATCTAAATCAAGTAACCGATGTTCATCGCCAACAAGCCAAACAATTATGTTATGCTATTTTATATGGTATGGGTGCTCAAACATTAGCCAGTCAGTTGAATATACCTGAACAAAATGCACAAAAGCTAATCGACAGCTTTCTACACACTTATTCTGGTGAATAAAATTATTATTGTTAATATATTTTATTTTTAAAATTCTGTCCGTGTATTTCAGCCTCAATAACTGACTGACATGCATCAATTTGTGACATGTAAAACATTTAATAACAGTATGATTATAAGCACGTAGATATGATATGATTATGAGCAATAGTTTGTGCTCGAAACGTCATCAGTTAATATTACTGTACAACATCATGTTATTTATCAAAATAAAATCTTATCCATAATAAGCACGTCGAGTCAGTTATATTCCTTTATTGATTTCCTTGATTAAGGAGTGGATTGGTAATGTCTCTCTCTCTCTCATTAAATGCCGTATATGGGCTGTATATATCGCATTATCAAAGGTATTTTCGTCAACTATGACATTTGTACAAAAACTTTTTTCCTCCAGTAAGTCGTTCAATCCGAAAAAGATTTTACTGCATTTGCAACCAGCTAACCTTTGCTAAGTGGAATGCACTTGTTATGTTAACAATAAAAATCTCATTTTAAAAAGAATAATAAATAGTTAACACTTTAGAGTTTAATCTTAGTGTCTAGAATATCTGTTCATATTCGAGAGAATCTTCAAGACGCTTCCTCTGCGTTTCCCTGCCTCAAAGTCGAAGATGAAAGGAAAAACCTTGGTGTCGTCTCCTTCAGTATAATCAAGACGAATTTCACAGGAATGATGGAGTAAAAATGATCGTTCCTTATCTCTTAATTGCTATCATTAGGACACTGTGCAAACGCATGCACAGACTTTATGATCCAATTTGTTACCTACTCATCAGTAACCTTTGTATACATTTGTTTGCTGTAAGTTGTAAAATAATCTATCCTATCTCCGACAACAGTATAAAGTCATGGTTGCAACATGTATTGAATGTTTGGTTTTTGTGATCACCGTGCGTCGGTGGCACAGTGGTTAGGACTCTCGCCGGCCATGCACATGGTCCGAGGTTCGATCCCCTGCCGACGCACACCTGATATCTACGGTCGGACTGCAAAATCTGGGCTACCGATATCCATGCTGAAAATTCCATACTTGTACCAAAAATACAGTGTGGAATCAAGCTGTAATCAAAAAGAAAAGAAAATAGTCCATAATTATCGCACTCTGTATGGTAAGATAGTAATACTAACAGCCTGACTGTAACTTGACTCTCTTATGAGCTACTTTGGACCATTTTTGCTTAACCCTAGAGTACTTCAATGGATTAAGTAGTTTCTGTCTTTTGCATTAAATCAATCCGTTATGAAAAATATTTTCGTCTAACAATCCTGTCAAATTATTCACAACTGCGTATTATCACATTATGCTTTTTTCACCATGTATATGCTTGAATTTTTAAAATGTAGGTGTTCAGAAGTTTATTACAGCAACTATTGCATCCGCTCACCATGATGGTCAAATTAAAACACTGAATGGTCATATTCGTCTTCTGCCAGCTTTGACCGCCAAAACATTGTGTGATAATGGTACAAATCATGAATTTGATTTCAGTCGGTCGAAGAAAAATGATTTTAGACACCATTTCGCTGTGGTTAAGGTGCGTTTTTTTTCGATTTTTTCTTTTCTTGTACATTATGTTGTTGTTTTTTGAAATTATAAAATATTCTACTGTCATTCAGCTGACAACTTGAGAATGAAATGCTTTTTCTTTTAAGCCGCCAGGTCTTTTTTTACCATCTGTAATCAGACTGTGTCGATACACCTTTTAGGGAACCAAAGTCACTGTAATTAATTGAATTAAATGGTAACATACACTTCTACTAACTTTTGCTACATGTGATGAACTGACTTCTGTATCAAGTGGTTCAGGAGGATGGGGATTAGTTTCCTAATGGTTGTCAATGCCACTGTGTACACAAAAGCTTGGTGGTGTGGTGCTTTCGTGCAAAATTCTAATCTGTTAAGACAGTCAGTCGTCTGAATTACCTATATATTCAGTGATACTAACATAATGTGATAGTCTTTTTCCTGTGTATTGGAATATTTATTGTTAGATGGTAATAGACCTAATAAGGAGAAAAACGCAGATTATTGAATTTTTCTTATTGAATACTATTTTGTTGACTCTTTACCTCACTTCATCAGTGAAGTAATGTCAAGCTTCTGTGTTAAAAGACTTCAGAGTTTTTTATTTACATTCAGAGAACAAACGACAAAATGATTGGGCGAAAAATATTCTTTTCGATAACTCCCTCATCACATTCTACAATTGTGCATGCATTATATTTTACGAATAATTAGCCTCGACGGAGGTAGTGTTTTCTGTGTACAAGAAAGCAACGATAAATGTTGATATCATTCAATGTAACAGAAGTTCCTTATATAACTGGTCCAGTTAAAAGTTGTCATATTTGCTATTTAGCTTTCTGAGTATTTATCTTCCAAGCTACCTATATACTTTTTAAAAGTGTTCATTGCATTGTTAGACAGCTTTGAAAGTTTATCATATTTCATTTGTTCGTTTTCAAATAGAAAGTATTATTTTTCTTTCATCAGGCTGAACGTCAAGCTGTCAACAGTATGATTCAAGGTAGCGCGGCAGAAATAGCCAAACTAGCTATGTTGGCGGTTGATGAAGCTCTCAATTCCAGTCAACTGTCGGGCTATGCTAATCTTGTTCTACACGAACATGATGAATTAATTTATGAGGTAAGCTAACCTTCTCTTATATCTTTTCTAATTTTTCCTTAACAGTTTTTTTAGTATTATTATTATTATCATCATCATCATCTTACCTCCATTACATGCGGATCTTTTGTATGTCTTGTTTCAGGTTTCTCCGGCCTCATCTGTTAAACGATTCGGTTTATTAATTCGACAAACAATGTCAAATGTCGGTAAACAGTGTAACTTAAGTGTTCCATTACCTGTAAAATTAAAAATTGGTTCTAATTGGTCGGATTTACAACAAGTCGATTGGTGATTGAATCGCTTATGTTAATTACCTCAGTTATTTACATTAATGTGATCTTTCAATGTACATGATCTCATGCCTTCTTCTTTTCTTTTTTTTTCGATTTTTGATAATTTAACTTTATATGTGGCAATGTGAAAACTACTCATTATTTTTTCTTCATATGTATATTTATTTAAATCTCTCAGGGATATGTATATTTTATGCATAGTGTTTTCGCTCTGTGTTGTTTTTGTTTTGTTTTTTCAGTGTTAAATGTTACTTCAATGTGATCTTTTTTTCAAATTATTGCACTTTTCCTGTGATTTTTTATTATGTATGGTATGCAGAAAATGAATCAAAATTAATAATGATTATCTCCTTATATATGCTTACGTTGTTTTAATTCTCTTTAGTGTGTAAGTGGTAACAGTCTGAAACGGAGGATATTGATGTATGCGATTAGGAAAATTTATATCTTGAAGTGATTCAGATTATTGCAACAATATCAACTAATAATACTGTGATAAGGCGTTTTATCGTCTATTAAAAATTAACTTCCATTGGACTCTAAAACAACAATTGGGGAAAGTGCATCTATTTCAAGACGAATTTATTTAATGACAGCAAGAATAACATTAGGGACAGGGTTATAACTGATTGAATGTGATTTGGTTCCAAATATTTTTTTACGCTTCAATTTTTGTGCTAGCTCTTGCTTCGATTTATATAACTGTCTAAATTGTGTAGATAGATAAAGGAATTACTCAGGTGTCATTATCGACGAACTGACTCTTTGAAATTACTAGAGTGTTCAACAATTCACTGCAAGTTTTTTCTAGCGAAAAAGTTAACAATGGGGTAAACTTGCATTACAGGAACAAGTGGAAAGCTGACTGGATATTAGTGTTATTATCATTAGTTTCAACCACGAAACTGTGAACTACAAATTATGGATAAAAACAGTATTTCTGAAATTCGATTCAATCAATAGTCACAAATATTATGCAGTTGAATTTAAGTATTGAGAGACTAGTCATTCAATGAACACAGATAACTATTGAACCGAAGTCGGGATATGTCTGAAGGTTAGAAGTACTATTGGTAATGGGTATAAATCTGAATGGACTACTTAACGAGTTTAAACCTCACTTTTTCGGTATTTATTTACCACTGGGCTTAGTTGTAGACCATCTTATGAATAGAAATGAGCATAGAAGCTCCAGGTACGACTACATACAATAAACAGTTATATTAAATGACTTGTTGATTTGAAGAATTAGTTGTCCTCTGCAAAATTTTTGGTAATCTTGTAAATAAACAAGATAAATAGGTTTAAAATTTATTTACAGTTACCAAAGGCATAACTCGCATGGAAACTGTTCAGCATGGCTGTAAGTGGTACTGGAATTAAAAGTGTAATGATTGTAATACTGTGGTGAGAGCTGGCTGTTAGTCAAAATTGGTGGGCAGTAATTTGCGTCAATGTCTATGTCCCCAATATTGGTCGTGAAAAAAATGAGAACAAAGGCTTTGCATAGGCGGATACAGTTAACACATAGATGATCTGGCATTCAAGAAACAGTCACAAAGAGATTCAAGATCCCGTGAGAAACAACTAATCAGACGACTGTATTTTTCTGCTGACAATAATCTATAATATGTACATAAAAATCTATAAATATGTGTTGATTTCCTTAATAAACGATCTGTTGCCTGGCCCTTGTCTTCTGTTGTTACACTACAAACTCCCGCTTCCCTATTGCTATTGGTGAAATGAATATACGACGATAATTAAGTAATGCATGCTACATACTTCATCTCACAATTACATTGAATTTTCTAATTTGTCAGTTCATTTTCCTCTCATCAATGGATCTGTTCCTTGTCAGCTGTCTGTCTGTCTGTTTTCGACATAGAACTTTGCACAAATGTGCGGAAGTTCAAGTCGCCACATTCCGTGTAGCACGCGAAGCAAGAGAAGAAAGTACAAGAAAAGCATAATAGAAACAGTGAGCAGAGGTGTGAGACAAAGGAGTAATAAAGAAATACAAAACAGTTTCATTGAAGATCATAAGTCACAGGGAGTGGATGCATCTGCGCCACTGAGAACGATTTTGAGCCATGTCACCAATTGTTTCCAACCATAGATTTTTACCGTCCCGAGGACCCCAGCCTGGAAGTCTACACCTTTCTACGTGGCTTAGACCAACTGTTGTGGATTTCATTGACTGATGCCAAGTTTTTGTTTGACCGCCGCTAGCTTTTTTCCAGTCTGACCCTATATCCGCTAACATAGCTCGTCGGGGGAGGCGATGACTTGGCATACGTAACACATGTCCTAACCATCTCAGTCGATGTAGCTTCACGACTTCGTCGATTGATTTCCCCTGTTTACCTAGAACTCTGCGCCTAACCTCCATGTTGCTCACCTTATTATGCCACTTTGCACGGGGAATAGAGCGCAGGCACCTATGATCAAAGACAGCTAATCTTTTCATGTCTTCCATTCTCAATGGCCAGGTCTCACTCTCAGCCATAAAGGAGGACGGAGCGGACTGATGAGCAGTACACCTGCCCTTTGGTCGATAGTCGAACATCTCGTCTACGCCAGAGTCGGCGTAAACTGGCAAATGCGAAACGAGCCCCTTGTATCCGTGCGGAGATTTCGTCAGAGATCAACCCGTTGGCACTGGCTGATGGTACTTCCCAAATAAGTGAAGCGGTCAACGTGCTCTACCACTTCACTTCCTATTTTTAAACTAGGCGGCGATGTAGTCCAGTCCTGTAACATCATCTTGCATTTGGCGGGAGCGAATCGCATGCCAAACATTCGTAGATTGCGGCTCAAGGTGTTTAGAAGACTCTGCATTTCGTCAGCGTCTTCGCCTAGAAGGACTATATCGTCTGCATATTCCAAGTCAACGAGATTATTCCCCGGTAGCAAATCAATCCCTGAGTCACTGAAGTCACCTAGGGTTAAGTCCATTAACACATCTATGATGCCCTTCCTTGTCAGCACTAACTTTAGGCACAAAGATAGACATAGCCTAACCTGGTGACTTCCATCACCAAATCAACTTTGTACTCAAAGAGACCATATAGAGATGGGGTAAAGTTGGCTAGGGTCAGTAGAAAACTGCCGATCGTTCTGAAACATAAGCGTAGACTGCAATCATACCTTGGTTCGTGCACACCTACACTTATGATTAAACGGACAAAAAGCCGTTGAAAGAGAAGCAGTTACGCCCCAACTAGATCCAGACACTGGTTACTAATTTAAGGAAGAAATAGAGAAACGAGTATCTGAGGTCGACATTAGGAATCCTCTTGAAGCCTTGGACAGCATACAGTTAGCCGTAGACACAGCTATAAAGGCATTTAATAACAAGAAACCAAAAGTTAGTGAGAGTCAGTGAATTTCTACCATTAAATCATAACTGATTAAGGCGAAAAGACCGGTTCCAGCGAGCATCGGAGATTACGAGGACCGTAAGTTATTCAGACTCAAACTAATAGCGATGTAAGGTTGTGAACAAAATGCAAAAATATCCATTCCGCAGAATAATGAATTGTAAATAAACTAATGCGTCTAGGAAAAAACGGGAATAATCACATGAAAAAAAATCGAAAAGCTACATTCTCGATAAATAAAGATAGATTAGAAAAAAAAATGAGTAGGAGAAATATTCGAAGATTTAAAATATGGTGCTCTCTTGCTGTCGAATGTAAGATGGTGTTACAGGACTCGACTAAGTTGACTACTCCTAACTTAAAGATAGTGAGTGGAATGGTAGAGCGAGTTGACCACTTCACTTATTTGGGGAGTTGCATCAGCCAACGTTAGCGGGTTGATTGCTGACGAAATCTCAGCACGGATACAGGAGACTCGTCTGGCATACGCCTGCCAACTGACGCCATCTCTGGTGTAGATGTGATATCCGGCCAGATGTCGACCAAAGAATGTGTGTGCCACTCTGCAGTTCGCTCTGTCCTCCTTCATGGCTGTGAGACATGGCTATTGAAAGTGGAAGATACGAAAAGGCCAGCTAGCTGTCTTCGATCATAGGTGCCTGCGTCCTATCTCCCGTGTTAAGTGGTGTAATAAGGTGAGCAATATTGAGGTTAGGCTTCGGTCGAGTACTAGGTAGGTGCGAGGGGAAATCAATCAACGATGGTTAGGGCATGCGTTACACATGCATTCCTAGCCATCGATCGCCTTCCTCGACAATGGGAAATGTTAGCTGACATAGGATGGATCAGGTTGTAAAAGAGTTAGCTAGTGTTGGTCATACTAAAACATAGCCTAATCAGTCAATGAAATCCACAACAGTCAGTTTTAGCGAGTGAGCCAGCTAGCCACGTAGGGAGATGTAGACTTCCTGGTTGGGGTCCTCGAGATGGTAGAAACCAGTGGCTGGAGACAATTGGTGATATGGCTCAAAATCGTTCTTGATAGCTGATTCAGAGGCATTCACTCTTTGCGATTTATAATATCCAATAAAATTCTACTGTTCTTCCACATTACTATCCTTTTTGCCTGAAGTTTCTGTTTATCATCTCTGTTTTGAATCTGTCTTTACTCTCTTCTCTTGTTTTGTGTACTGCATGAAGGGAGTGTGGCAACTCGAACTACTGCACATCTGTGCAAAGTTCTACGTTGAAACAGGTCGTTCAGTCATGAATGGATGCTAAATTAGAGCGGTGGTAGGGTTGTATATCGAAATCACCCAATGAACTACACTGGCTCGAACAAATGTTCTTGTAGACCCTACCATACCAGGAAGGTTGTTTGGATGGCGGTTATACTCAAAGCATTTACTTACATATTGTAAGCCGTTAACACTATATTGGGGGTCTGAGGATGAGGTCGTACACCTGGCGAATAGGGATGTAACATCAGTGAGATATTTACCTCAGACGGCCAGATATGCGGCATCTCTACTCTGAGGACGTGGGTTATAAGAGGTCAACCCAATTAGAATGTTCATGCTGGCTTAATTTGTAGTGGTTCATAGCCGTCGATTGGATCTTCATACGGACAAAACTGAAGAATCCACTTCTAAAATGTCATATGTAGTTGGTCTCAAGCGGTTATCGTCTGGACTGTGTGATCACACGACACCAGTTATCTTTCTTTGTCGGTTCCCCAAGAATAATCAACTTCCACAGTGTAGACAGCTGGGAAGTAATAACAGACTCACGATTCCAAAAGCACAGAGTTTTCCCTATCATCACCCACCGTCGTCTTGCTTTCTTCCCAATGTTATTACTATTCCACAGGCGAAATCACCACCCTCTCTTAACTGTAGGACCATTAATGGCCACCTGAGCAGAAAAAATACTACTGAAAGTCTATTAAGACCACGCTGAGTTCAACGTTGGGACAATAGTCTACAATAGCCAGAGCTCCAG